CCTTGCTATTGCTGAATCTTTGATTTTGTGATTGAGATTAGGTTCCGTCTGGGTACAGGGCATACAGTTTTGTCTTTTTAATGTGTAGTTCAAGTGTTAATGTTTCTTTCCTGCTTCTGCATCTCCCCCTCTGAGATGCCTTCCCAGTGTGTGTGTCTTGTCATGTGCCTAGTTATGGACCGCTAGGTGACGCCATAGTGCGTAGAGCGCCAGGCCTGGACTCAGGAAGATTCCTCTTCCTGGGTTCAAATCTAGCCTCCGACACGTAGTACAAATGTGATTCTGGGAAAGTCACTTAACCCCATTTGCCTCAGTCTTCTCAGCTGTAAAATGGGCTGGAGAAGGAAATGGCAAACCACTCCACTGTCTTTGCCAAGACGACCCCAGATGGAGTCATGGAGAGCCAGACATGATTAAAAATGAATACCAGCAACAAAATTCCTTGTTATTTTCATCTTTCTCTTTCCCATTCAAGTGTATACCCCTTGAAGGTAGGGGAACGTGTTTTTGCCTTTCTTCCTAACTCCAGCACTTACTTGGCTCAATATCTGGTATAGAGAAAGTGCTTAATCAATGCTTGTTGGCTGGCTCATTTGGTGTGATATTAGAGCATTTCATGGAATGGTCATCGGATCATAGCTCTCGAGTTAGAAGGGACCTCAGAGGCCGTCTAAGTTTAGTCTATTGTTCTTCAGTCATTGCAGTCGTCAACTCTGCATGATCCCATTTGGGTTTTTCTTGTCAGAGATACCCGAGTGGTTTGCCATTTCCTTCTCCAGCTCATTTCACAGAGGAGGAAACTGAGGCAAACAGGGTAAAGTGACTTGCCCAGGGGCACATAGCTAGGAAGTGTCTGAGGCCAGATTTGAATTCAGGAAGATGAGTCTTTCTGATTCCACTGTGCCACCCAGCTGCTCTCAGGAAGCTTACCATCTAATAGAAACAGTGAAAACCCAAAGGAGGACCCAGTTCTTCGAATCACAGATTTGGAGCTAGAAGGAGCCATAGAAGTCATGTGGTTCAGTGTCCCTACATGTACGGATTAAAAATCACTTGGCCAAAGTCACAGGGCAATAAATAGCAGCGGTAGGATTCAAACCCGTCTCCTTTGATTCCAGATTCGAGATTCTTTCCATTCTTCTATTCCTATCAGGGCCTGGGACCAGGTCATTTTCCATTCATTTGCAGTTGAGATCTGGAGGTGAGTCGGAGGGGAGGTGTGGTGGTGGCCTGCTTGGTCGCCAGCACTTTGCATGGTACCTTACACACAGTAGGTGTTCAAGATTGTTCGAACTGGATAGAAACTGAAATTTGACAGTGGGCCAAGGAGGAAGTAGTGGCATGACTTTTTTGAAAGAGAATATAAGCAACTTGGAGGCTATTGAACCAGTCCTGGGATGAGTAAGACCTCGTACTGTAAGGGCAGAGGGGGAAACCTGCTTGGATTCAGTTAGTGAAGAGGAAATGCAGGTGATTTGCATAAATTAATATTGGGGTTTTACCTGGGACCAGAAGAGAACCCAGCAGGGAAGGGAAGCTGGTTGTTTGGGTGTGTGCAGGGGATGGGGAGGTTAGATAGAGAACCTGGACACATATAAAGGAAGATGTCTTTTTTTGGTGGTGGTGGGGGCATGGGGGAGCGAAAGCGATTCTTGAAAAGAGGGACAGTGAATCCTTAGCAAAAGTCCATGAAGAAGGAAGTTCAGAAGGGGCCACAGACCACAGCCAAGAAGTGTGGGAGCTGCCACCTTCAATGAGAAATTTACATAAATCCAAACGATCAGTCTGTTTGTGGGAAAATGTTCCTCTTTGTTGATATTTGTCAAGTTTAGGTTAAGAAAAGGAAAAATTTTAAGAGGTGAAGGTGGAGAAGGAGAGGGCAGTAGTGTTTTGGTCAGGTAATGCAGTGTCTGCTTAAAAAAAACACTTTTTCTTGCTAAGTTTTATTTGAATTTCATTGATCTAGCCAGTCATTCAAATATTAGAACAGGAATCGAAGAGACAATATGGACATGATTTTAAAAAATATTTACTATTTTATTTTCCCCAGTTACATGTAAAAACAAATTTTAACATTCCTTTTTAAAACTTTGAGCTCCAAATTCTCTCCCTTCCTCCCTCCTCGAAGGCAAGCAATTTGATATAGGTTTTACGTGTGTAGTCATGCAAAGCATATTTCCATATTAGTCATGTTGTGAAAGAAAACATCGACAAAAAAAAACAACTCAGGAAAAATAAAACAAGTAAAAGTATACTGTATTCAATCTGTATTCAGACACTATCACTTCTTTGTCGGGGGCTGGATAGCATTTTTCCATCATAAGTCCTTCAGAGTTGTCTTGGAGAATTATATTGCTGAGAATACATTCTAAGTCGTTCACTACTGATCATCGCACAGTATTGCTGTTAGTTTGTACGTGGTACAGGTCACTTTGCATCAGCTCATGCAAGTCTTTCCAGGTTTTTCTGAGAGCATCCTGCCCATCATTTCTTACAGCACAAGAGTATTCTCTCACAGTCACGTACCACAGTTTGTTCAGTATGATTCTAAGCTAAAATAAAAGCCGCAAACCAAGTGGCAAACTTTGTTTCAGCAGCTGTCTCTTTCCACAGGGGCCCTCCTTTTTTTGTCCCCCGGGCATGCTAAGAGATGATTATTTTTTAGCCAGACTCAGGTGATAGAAGGTGTGATCCCATTTGGTAGAAGGAAATATGACTTGGCAATAGAATGTGACAGAGTGATAACGGATAAGCTGTCTGTGGGCTGGGGCAGTGATTTACATAGTCCTAACGCAGGTCAGTTTCCATGCAGGGAGGACAGCCTCTATGAATTCCCCTTGGAAGAAGGTAATGCATCAGCTCTTGGTTACTGAGGATGAAGCATGGTAATCAGTCAGTTGAGCAAGTATTTCTTTCATGTCAGCTAGAATAGCCTCTCAGTGTTTATTTTGGTCTAGGCACTTCTTTTTTTTTCCTGGTGAGGCAGTTGGGGTTAAGTGACTTGCCTAGGGTCACACAGCTAGTGTCAAGTGTCTGAGTCTAGACTTGAACTCAGGTCCTCCTGAATCCAGGGCCAGTGCTCTATCCACTGCGCTACCTAGCTGCCCTTAGGTACTTCTTTACCAAAGGAGACTGACCACCCTTGTGTATCCTTTGTAGACGGACTTCTAGTCACTAGAGAGGTCAAACTCACATAGATCCAGGGGGCCGTTAAAGGCGCACATCAGGACCCCTGCAATATTGACTTAGGCACAAGTTAACATTATCAGTATTCTATTGTCTTTTTATTTATTTTGTTAAATATTTCCCAGTTAAATTTTAATCTGCTTCACCAGTGCTTGACATCTTTGGGTAGGCCACTCCATCTTCTCCCTCCGGGCCCTATTTTCCTCATTGGTAAAATGAAAGGGTTAATTAGACAGGAGTAAGGGTTCGTGACCTGGGGTCTTTGAACATAAAAAAAAAATTTGATAACTGTATTTCAATTTTGTAAACCTATATGTTTTGTTTTTATTTTGCTTGTGTATTTTATTAAGTGTTTAAAAATGTGATTCTGTGGGGGGGGGTCTGTAGGCTACCCTGGACTGCCAGAGGGGAGTGGTCCACCATGTGCAGGCTTTGCACATAAGCACAGGACTCTTCTGACCTTGTGCCATCAGCACTGCTGAGCTCTTGTGAGTGTTTTCCTCAGGTTTTAGTACTGCTCAGTAAAGCTGCAGCTCTGGGTTTCATTGTTTTTTTTTTTAAACCACTTCTTTGGTTAGGTTCATAGTGCCTTCAGTTCTTCCCTTCAGAAAACATTATTATTAAGTGCCTACTATGTGCCAGGCTCTGTGCTAAATTCTGGGGACTCAAAAAAAGGCAGAAGAAAGTCTTTGCCCTCAAGGAGCTCGCGGTCTAACAAGCATATGTTAGATGCCTTCTATGTGCCAGGCTCTGTGCTAAGGAACCAGAGGCAAACTGGTCATGGTCCCTGATCTGGGGAGCTCGGGTGTGTCTTTCCAGATGCTCAGAGCCTATGGTGCTCCGCCTGTCTTTTTGTTCCCCTCCAGTAACGTCCCCAAGGGAAGAAGCTTCAGGTGGGGCCAGTTCTTCCTTCCTGGTTTCTGTTGTAAGTTGCCTGCTATTTGGCCCTGAGGACACCCTCTAAGAATTGTCTTTGTGGGACTTCCCTGTGAGTTGTAGTCAGCATGACAAGGCATTTCCCTGGGAGGCGTTTTACATCCCACTCCCCTGAGGATGTTTCATACTGTGGGGTGGTGGTTTTGGTTTTTCTTTCCCCTGATAACAGTCTTCCACAATCGCTTGGTCAGAATGACTGGGCTTCTGTGCACCAGTGAAATGACTTTATGGTCATACTTAAGATCTTTCGTCATCCGTCTGGGGGTGGAAAGGAGGAAGGGTAGTGTACGGACAGCATAGCTTTGTTGGTGTGTCTGTGTTTGCCAGACACAGGATGTTATGTATCTGAAAACTACTGTTTCCCCTTCATGCTTACAGGGATGATTAAAAAGAAAATCAGGCATATTGACTTACTGTGCCAAGTTCAGATTTCTGTTGGCCGTGCCAGGGAGTGGTATGAGATGAGAGGTTCCTTGAACGAGGGCTAGCAAGCCATCTGGTCCTAATCTCTTGTACAGATGAGTAAACTGAGGCCCAGGGGAGATCATAAGGTTTATTGACCCGGAACTGGAGGGGGCCTTGGAGGGCACATTAGTGCTACCCTTTTATTTTACAGATGCAGAAACTGAGACCCAGGGATGATGGGGTTTGCCCAGGGTCACAAAAGTCCTAAACGTCCCTCCAAGGTGGGATCTGACTCCAGAGCTCAGGGCGCTTTCCACTGTACCCCGCTGCCTCCCACGTTGCCAGCCTTCGACATTGAACTCTGTTTTCCTCCCACAGTGGCTTGTGTTGAAGGTGGAGCATCAGTCATGATGCCCTTTGGATACTGTGGATACTGGCTGTGCTCACCCACCTTTGATTTTACACCTGCCAGGTTCTCCTGTGTCTGGTACGAGTATCACTGGGTCCCTGGTGCTTTCACGTTGTACCTCGAACTGCCCCCACCGATGCCCTCAAGAAGGAGACAGAGGCGCCGCCTCGGCGCCATCCCTCCTCCCCAAGCTGCCCCCTTGCGGCTGTCCACACCCCAGCCCCTTCCTCCTGATCCCAACTCCTGCCTGCCTCCCCCTCCATGCAGTAGCAGAACCGTTCAGCCTGAGCCGGTAAGTGGAGGGGCCGCCCATTCCAGGCTCTCAAACCTCCTTTCCTCCTTGCTCTCCTTCCCCCCGGTCCGCTTTCTCTTTCTGTAGGACTGTCGGGGCAGTCCTGGAAAGGACCTCAGGGGTCATCTCATTCAAACCCCTCCTTTGACACAGGAAGAAACTGAAGGCCAGAGAGGTTAAACAGCCATGATTCAAACAAGATCTGCCTCCAATCCCAGAGCTCTTTCCTTGTCCTCATTGCCTTTTACAGTAAAATCATCCAGTTTTTCATGACAATACAATATTTTCCTTTACATAAAGAAGCACAGATGAAAAATTTTACACGACCCAATGCCACCCCGCATTTCTCTAGAGTCTGAGTTATAAAGGGCAGACTGTTAAATGAGATTACATCCCCAAAGCCATTTTCACTAGCTAGGGTGAAATGGGGCCAAATGCGGATAAGAATTACGGAATGATTTCTTCTGAGCTCCCCCATTTAATTAAAGCGGTAATTCTTTGGACTGGAAACCTTAATATGCAAATAGTATGGATTTGCCCAACCTAAATCTAATACAAAGGACTTAACGGGGCATAGAAGCAAAAGAAGCCCACTTTGCAAATTACCTCTGTCAAAATGGATGGCAGCAGCTTCTGTCTAGAATATTAACCCACAGGAAAGGTGAAATGCTAATGGTTTGTGTCGATGTTTCAGCCTTCCTTTTTTTTTTTTTTTGCTTCGTTGTAAAGGACCTGTAATGAGTCCTAAAAATAGTCTCTGAAAATCTTGGGATGGTACACTTGGCACCCTACCTTTATTCTGGCAGGGCTGCCCTCCCGGTTCCCTGCCTTACCTACCTCACCCTTCCACGCTCATCCTTGACTGACTTCTGCCTGGAGAATGTTTCTACCCTGGACTCACTCAGAGTAAACATGGGTTCTTTTGACAACCTATTAAATTAAAAGGGCTCCAGGAAGAAAGCATTTGTCTTTATGTCTGCCTTTGTGAGATTTCCAGAGACCCAGCCTAGTTTTTTCTTTAATGTAAATGAATATTTTTTATATCAATTTTATCATTTTTTATTATATCAATTTTTTTATGTCAATGTCAGTTTCTAGTGGTACCCCTTTCCCCACATTGTTGCCTTCTGTTGTAACAAAGATATTCACTTGTGTAGTTAGGCCATATCTGACTGCGTATGCCTCATTCCACACCTATGGCCTACCACCTCTCTGTTGAGAGGAGGGAGGTATGTTTCATCATCTATGGCTGCATTAATGAGAGTTCTGACATTTTCTTTTTTTTTCCTTAATAGTATTTTATTTTTTTCCAATTACATGTAAAGATAGTTTTAAGATTTTGAGCTCCAAATTTTTTCTCTCCCTCCCCAAAACAGCAAGCAATCTGACATATGTATGATCATATTAAACGTATTTCCACATGAGTCATGTTGTGAAAGAAGAATCACCATGAGAAAGAAAAAACAAAAGAAAAAAAGAAAAAAATAGCATGCTTCGATCTGCATTCAGACTCCATGGTTCTTTCTCTGGATGTGGACAGCATTTTCCATCATGAGTCTTTTGGAATTCTAACATAGGACAATAAGAGATCTAAGACCTTAGAGGTCATTCAGTCCAAACCTGCTCATTTTACGGGTGAGGAAACCGAGTCCTAGAGAGGTTAACTAGCACGCAGGTAGTAAGTGCTAGATAAGATTCAAGCTTAAGGTCTGTGATGCAAAGCTGAGGCATTTTTCCATACTGCTTTTCAGAACAACATAGTTTGCTTAAGCCACCTTATTAGCAGGGATGGGGGACCTTCGGCCTCGAGGCGACATACGGCCCTCTAGGTTGCAGGTCCCCCACCCTTGGTAGAGGGTAATAACAACCGACATTTTACAGTGTTTTAAGGTTCTCATGATGCCTTTATAGTGTCTCACTCAATCCTTGCAGCAACCCTGTGGTAGGTACTGCTGTTGCCTTATCTTACAGATGAGGACTTTGGCTCAGAGAGTTTCTCAGTGACTTGCCCATGCTTACACGGCTAGGAGGCGGTAGCAGGCATTTGAACCCAGATCTTTCTTGTTCTGCCAAGTTTTTCATTCTTTCTTCCAGTGTTTGGTCTGGACCTTTGAATTCAGGGGACCTTGGTCCGGGGGAACTCCTGGGATGAGGAAAGTCCTTCCACCTACGCTGGCTGGCAATTTAAAAAAAAAACTCCAATAATTGGTCTCTTGCTTTTTATATCCTTTTCCTCTGCCCTCCCATTGTAAGCAGTGATGTGCTGGAAAATGTTTAACACCCAGCTCTCTGGGGAGGGTGGGGAATGCATACTTGACACACTTTTAAGTTTAATCTGCTCTAACATTTTATTCATCCTTTTCACAAATCTAGAAAGAAATTAAAACAATGAATCAAGTCCTGATTTATAGCATTTGCCAACTTCAAGGGGGATAAATGCTCACCCTGAAAATTTCAACAACAGAATTGGGTCTCGTGAACTGGCTTTCAGGCGGGTGTGAGTTGGCTTTAACCTGTAAGGGAGACTTTTTTAAAAAGGGGGCAGAAAAAGCATTTAAACAAAACTAACCAACACACTGACCGAGTCTGACCATGTATGACTTATCCCTCACCCATAGACCCCCACCTCTACAAAAAAGAGAAGGAAGTACATTTCCTTCTCTTGTCTTTGGGAATGAGCTTGGCAATGGTACTTATACAGTGGAATGGTGTTTCTGTTCTATCCTTTTCTTTTACTCTGTTGTATATTCCCAAATCTGCCTTTTTTACATTCTATAAATTCATCTCAACTTGACTTTTTGACAACTGTTGTGCAGTTTATAATCTTAGAAAGCTGTCTGGGGTACAGAGAGGGCAAATTACACACCTGGAGTCACATAGCCAGTATGGGTTGGAGGCAGGATTTGAACTTGGGATCTTCAAGAAACTGTGCCCACCTGTCTATCCACTGTGCAATATTGCCTTTCCACTGAGGGTTGGTGGAATATGTAAAGCTCCTAGGGAGAAGTAAGAAAACTCTCTTCCTAAATCTAAAGGCTGATGATCGATCTCTCTCTCTGTGGTTTTTTTTTTTTTGGTGAGGCAATTGGAATTAAGTGACTTGCCCAGGGTCACACAGCTAGTGAGTATCACGTGTGGAGGCTGGATTTGAACTCTGGTCCTCCTGACTCCAGGGCCGTTGTTCTATCCACTGCGCCACCTAGCTGCCCCTAGACTGATGACCTCTAAGCAAGAGTTTACACTTGTATTCTGGTATTGGGAGCCAAGAACACGCAGAGTAATTTTGGTCACTGGGATGTTTTATTCCAAAAGGTGGGTTTCCTGGAATCCCTGGCGAGGGCTGCTTTGGAGTGAAACTTTTTCCCTTTTTATTTTCCTTCAGGCCAAAAAGGAAGACACACCTCAAACTCTGTACAGAATGAATGGGTCAGAAGAGACCCCCGAGTCCTATGACTATGACCTCATCATCATTGGAGGGGGTTCTGGAGGCCTGGCTGCCGCCAAGGTACGTGCATTTGGAGTGACTTTCCTAATCCGCCAGAGAATGGGTCATCTGTTGGTGAAAGGGATGATGGGATGAGTCTTAGAGACCATTATACAGAAGAAGAAACTGAGTTCCAGGAAATTAAAAAAAAACAAAACCCAACCCAAAACTCACCCAAGAATATAGGACCAGAGATTTAGTGTTCAAAGGGACCCCAGAAGCCTTCTTGTCTGTTTACCTCATATTTTATGAGGAAACTGAGGCAGGCATTGTCCACCACTACACCACGTAGATTTCCACCAGTGGATAATCAAATGTGTAAAACTTCTGGGGACCAGGAAGAAAGAAATCTCCATCTGTGTAACTGAACTACTGATCTGGAAGCAATATTCCCAGTTTAGGGACAATGCTAATGGAGATGCTGCTGGCCCTACTCTCTTTCCCTTCTCTGTCTGTTCGGTCAACAAGCATTTGTTCATATTAGCCAGCACTTATATAGCACTTTACGTGATTATCCCAATTAATCTTTGGGGAGGTATGTGCTATTCTTATACCATTTTACTGGTGATTGGTGGCAGCTAGGTGGCGCCGTAGTGCACAGAGTGCCGGACTTGGAGTCAGGAAGACTCATCTTCCTGAGTTCAAATCAATCCTCAGACACTAACTGTGACCCTGGGCAAGTCACTTACCCTGTTTGCCTCAGTTTCCTCGTCTGTAAAATGAGCTAGAAAAGGAAATGGCAAACCTCACCAGTATCTCTGCCAAGAAAACCCCAACTGGGGTCACAAAGAGTCTGACATGATTGAAAACGACTGAATGGCAAATACTGAGGTTGAGAAAGATGTGCCCAGGGATTTGAACTTGAGTCTTCCTGACTCCAAAACCAGAGCGCACTACCCAGTCTGCCTCCCATCTACCTTTTTTTTTTTAGCTAAGTGACTTGCCTAGGGTCACACAGCTAGTAAGTGTCAAGTGTCTGAGGTCAGATTTGAACTCAGGTCCTCCTGACTCCAAGGCCAGAGCTCTGTCCACTACACCACCTAGCTGCCCCTCCCATCTACCATTTTGCAAGAACATGCTGAGGGCTGGGGCTACAAAGACAAAATGAGAGCCCCTGTCCTCAGGGAGCTTATGTTCTGATAGGAGAGGCCACTTGACTGTATAAAGTCTATACAGAAAATAATACTGTCAGGTAGGTGGGAGGGGCAGACCCTGAGGCTGGGGGGGCACACCTCCTGTAGTTCTAATCGATCAGCAAACATTTCTTAATTGCCTGTCACGTGATGTGCCTTGAAGGAAATCGGGGCTCCCGAGAAGTGGAGGTGATGGAGGGAGTGTTTCCTCAAGTCCCAGGCAGAGAGGAAAGATCCATCTTCTCAAGGCCACATGCTCTCCTCTTCATCATTCAGTAGTAAGATTTTTCTGCCCTGAATCGCCCTGTTTGAGCCCCTGAAGTCTCCAGAAATTGACTTTCAACAGCAGTGATTCTGTGAGCCTCCCATGAGGTGATGGAAGAGGGAGATGAGCTCATTCAGGGGAGTGTAGAAGTGGAAGGGCCCAGCCGGGAGAGGGAGGGGTGAATGTGCTGGTGTTGCTCCATCCAAGGGCCTGAGTGAAGGTGAGCTCATGCGTTTGAAGATCACAGTCTTGGACCATCTGCTGTAACATCTGCCAGAGGTGAATGAAGTGGTGATCAGGGAGGGAGGATTAAAATGAAGCCAAGATAGGCAAGAAATGTCTCTTTGTTTTAAAGTTAAGATTGAGGTGCCCACTGCCCTGCTAACACCAGGGCTTGGGTTTAGGTCAGGGGTTAAATTTATAAATATTTATTGTGTCTGGGTGTACAGAGGCAAGAATGAATGAAAAAGTATTTATTAAGTACCTGCTCTCCCCCCTCCAATGTGGAGCACGTAATTGTTTCACCCAGTAACTTTCCATGTTTAGATCGCTGGCTAGTTTGTTGAAAGGGTAAATGATTTGTCTGGGGTCACACAGCCATGATGAGTCAGACTCAGAACTTGAACCTGAGGTTTTCCTGATTTCAAGACCAGCCCTCCTCTGTCCTTGTGGCCCGGCTTCCTCTCACACAGAGATTCTTTTCTTTTCTTTTCTTTTCTTTTTTTTTTTGGCAGTTGGGTTAAGTGACTTGCCCAGGGTCACATAGCTAGATAGAGATTATTTTCGATGCAGAGTAGTGGTTCCACAGAAGAATAAACCTATTGAGAAACACATCAGATTCTTGAGGTTCATTGGAAAGGACCCTGGTTCTGGTGTCAGAGCCTCGGGGTTCAAATCCTACCTCTGATGTCTGCTAACTGGTGTGACCTTGGGCAAATCATCACCTTCCTGGGTCTGAGAAGGTTGGACTCTGTGACTTTGGAGGTCCCTTTTACGTCTAATCTTTGATCCTGTGACTTGGAGACACTGTAGAAAGGGCAGACCAGGCTTGAGAAATACCCTTTACAGGAAGGATGGTGCTTGACAGTTTCATAAGAAAAACCTCTCCCATTCAGCCTTAACTCACTGTGGTAATGGCTTATTTATTGCACATGGTCAATTCAAATTCAATTTATGATCTCTTTATCAAGAATACATAGAGACAAGGGCTCTTGGAAATTCACATATCTATTGTTTTTGGTCACTTAAGTTTTTTGGAAATGGGCTGACCTTTTCCTGTTATTGCTTAATTATTAAATGGAGTATTCAGGATATCTGACTCAGACAGTAATTTCCTCGAGTGAAACTTCATTGCACATTTTAAGACTGCCCCTGAGTATCTCTATGTATGTCTTTTCATTTTCATCCCAGTTATGGTAATGACCTTGGCCTATGAAGTTTTGCTGGGATTAATAACTGGTCATGCTTCGTCATTATGGCTTAATGAAAAACAACATGACCCTTTAACTACAAGGCACTTTCTAGCCTCGTTTTTTGGATATTAATTTTATTAAATTTGTTCCCCAGGAGGCGGCTAAATATGGCAAGAAGATTATGGTGCTAGACTTTGTCACTCCGACTCCTCTTGGAAATAGATGGGGTAAGTTTTTCTCAATATCTCGGATGCAGATCAGTAGGAATGTGGTTTTTTTATTTTATTTTTTAAGCTATGAAGTCATTTGCTTATGAAACCCGTTAATGAAATTAGTCAGACACTAGTCTGGTCTAGCAAGTGGGCCAAGCTGAATGAGGCTGGAGTTTTTCATTGGCATTCAATTTTATTAAATACTGCCAACTTTGGGCTCAGAATATCAACGAAGGTGTTGCCACAAGCAAGCCTCCATCCTCGGGTCAAGGCTTTGGGGCAACTTGGATTACCCAAGAGTTGAACGAGGTCTCCACTGTCTTCAAGTCTCTCTCCCCTTATTCCACAGTTATAAAAGCAGAAGCCTGAATTAGTATCCTCGCTTCATCTGGTTCCCATAAAACTAACGTCCTTGTTGCCGAGGTCATTACTACTCATTGACCTCTGGCGTTCTCATCAAAGAGGCCATTTACTGTCCCTTGGCATTTGAAGAAAAAGTTTTATTCACGCCTTTGTTTTTGGCCTTGTGGTCAGCTCTGGCTATGCCCCTTCCCCCACCATGACCCAATGGAGAAGGTTTCTTTCTCTTTTTAAAATACCAGCTCTTTATTAATACTATTATTACATACATGCATGCATATTTTGCTGTATACACAGACATATGTAAAAGTACATATGTGTGTATATGTATATATGTGTGTGCATATATATTTTCACACACACAGAGATATCAGTCACTGGAGTAAAGGTTCATTATTTGCATGTAAATAGATTCCCAAATATTTATGCATTGTGTAGTTATTTGGAATGTTTCTTTTTTGGAAAAATTTTTTTTAACACTTTAAAAAAAAATTTTGAGTTCCAAATTCTCTCCCTCCCTCAGGCCCTTCCCCACCTACTGAGAAGGCAAACAATATGATATCAACTATACATGTGAAATCATGCAGAACATGTTTCCATATTAGCCATGTCACAAAAAAAGCAAGAAAAATATAGAAAGTGAAAACATTATGCTTCAGTTTTCGCCCTCAAGAGCTCATTGCTTCTCTCTCTGGGGGGTGAATAACATTTTTCATCACGAGTCCTTTGGGAGAGGGTTTCTTTAACAAAGAAACTCAGTTAAACAAAACCAGGCCTCCTTTGGCACTGTGTGCGATGTTCTGCCTCCTGCCTTTCTGTCAGGAGGAAGGAGATGCTTCAGCCTCAGTTCTCCAGAGACGAGATAAATCTTTATAATTTTTCACCATTCAGGCTAACACCATTTTGCTCTTACTTAGAATCTTCCTGTTAAGAGTGCTAATGCAGAGAGATACCTAAGGGGCTTTTTTTTTCATCAGAGTAACTTTGTGTGCCAATGAAGTGGTAGATGGTGTTCAACTCACCTTAAGACCCCTGGATTTGCAGTCAGAGGAACTGAGTTCAAATTCCTCTTCTTCCATGTGACCTTGTACTAAATCTGTCTGTGCTTTCATTTCCTTGTCTGTTAAATGATAGTGACTTCGGAGATTGATTTCAGCTCTCACGCTGTGATCCCAGGTGCTTCAAGATTTGCTTTTGATAAATCAGACACCCTAGTCTCTGGCATCTCTCTCTCACCCTAAATTAACCTTGAGGTTCTGAGGCATGTGGCAGTTAGAGGAAGTTGGGGACTAGTGGATAGCTTGCTAGACTTGGAATCCAGCAGACCTAATTCCAGCTGTGTGAATTTGTCCCTTAACCCTCAGTCTGTCCAGTTTCCTAATCTGCAAGGTGGGAATAATAATCATACCTGGCTCCCAGGGTGTTTGTGAGGATCGAATAGAAAAAATATTTGTAAAGCTGTTTGCAAACCTTAAAGCACTATTTAAATGCCACTTATTATTATTATTATTAAAATTATACTAGACAGAGAAAATAATGTAAATGAAAAGAACACGGAAAGCTATGCGTGCTATCACTGTAATGGCCAGTCTTGGTTCTAGAGAAACATTGAGGAGATGAGCTTCTTTTAGGTCAGGGGCTCTTAAACTGAGTTCTGTGAACTTGATTTTATTTTCTTTTTTGTATTTTGGCTAACTTTATTTTGCTATAATTTTAAAAAATATATAAAGTTAAATTATAATAAAGTTTCCTTTATAAACCTTTATGTTTTCATTTATATATATTTGTTTTTATATTATATATTCTGTTGTATTAAATATATATTATATATTCCTATATTCCTTTATAGTTTATGCATTTGAAAGCAAGATTCTGAGAAAGGGTCTGGCCTTTACTACTCTGCCTAAACCCCAAACAAGTTAAGAACCTGTGCTTTGGGTAGAGAGGTGAAGGGTGGTGCATACAGGGTAAAATGTTGCCTATGCTGTTGGACATGGAGTGCCAGTTAATTTTGTTGGACTGTTTTAATTTGCTATTAGGGAAGGTTCGTTAGATGGGGTAGGAAAGGATGTAGTGTCTGGTATTGATGGGAATAACTGATGTGAAAATAGAAGGCATGAATAAAAAAAACTTAAAAATTAACTAAAGGCAAAATTGAAGTCTCTCCAGCCCTGGTGATTTCATCTGTAAAAACAGGGATATCATTTCTTGCCCTGCCCTGCCTTAAAAGTTTATTATGAGGATCAGATGAGGTTATGTTCATGAAAGTCTTTTCAGAACTCTAAAGCGTGTTATTATCACCACCTAAGACTGGGGAGGATTAAAAGCTCTGCCCAAGGGTATATGTTACAGGTAAGTGGTGGAGATGGGGCTGAACTGTGGGTGCTTCTCATGACCCCCCAACCCCAGGCCACTGTTCTCTGCAGTGCAGAGAAATTACCGGGATCCCTTAGTGGATTGGCTGGCTGGTAGAAGAAAAAGGGGTCAGCATTAAGGAATGGAATGATAGATTTGGCCAGTGGGCTTTCCCGGACCACCCTGACTCGCAGAATAAACGTTTAATCATAACACATTTCATTCTCAATGGGGAAATAGACTAGCGTAATTAGCTTCCAGCCTGCTGCGGTAGATAGGGGCTCTCTGTCTTTAATCATGAACAACATTTATGGGGAGGAAGCCAGTTCTATTCTTCATGCCTCCATAATTGCGAATGTGGGGAAACTAAATGACTCTCCCCCCTTGGGGTGGCTCCTTCTCTTGGCCTCCTGAACATACCCTGCGGTTTGCTTCCCTCTGGGGGTAAAATGAGGGGGCGTGATGTCCAGGCTTGGGTTTTTCCTTCTCAGGAGGATGGCTTTTTGTTTTACCTGGCAGTTGCTGGAGGGTTACACTCCCGTCTCTGCTTGCTTATTAGCTGTTTGACTTTGGGCCATTCATTCCCTGAACCTCAGTTTCCCCATCTGTAAAATGGCTGGGATGGCCTCTGAGGTACCTTCCCACTCTCATTCTGGAATCCTATGACTGTCAATTTTTTTTTTTTACCTATTGGGCAGAACTAGGAAGGATTCACTCTTCTAGGTCTTCATTGACCCTTCGTGAGCCAAATTCTCCTAAGAACAACCTTCATTTCTTTTCTCAGAGCGTGTTTTCCTTTCTGAGAAACAAGGGTGGGCAGGCAGAGGTGGGTAGGCAGCCTCAGAGGAATGCCTAAAGATTAGGAAAAGAAGATGAATCAATCAACTAAGCACCTGTCAAATCCCTCCCAAGTTCCAGGCAACCTCTTATGTCCATGAGCTGCAGACCAGGTGCCAGCCTACTTTGGTGAAGGGAATTTATGAACTAGGAGTTCCGTACAGTGATGAAATCACAAAATAAAAACACCAGGCACTCGAGCTATAGATCCAAAATAAGACCAACCTGCCCTCGAGGAGCTTATATTCTACAGGGAACTTTGTGATTTCCATTGTGTGTGTGTGTGTGTATATGTATGTGTGTATATATATATATATATATATATATATATATATATATATATATATATATATATATATATATATATATATATATATATATTATATATATAATTAGATGAATATAATAGAAGTTACATAAATGTAAACTCCTTGAGGGCAGGGACTTGCATTTTTGCCTTTATTTCCTCAGGGCTTAGGCCAGTGCTTGGCACGTAGTAGGTGTTTATTATGCTTGTTGAAGGGATGAATTAATATTAAATTAATTAAAATTAATAGATTTTTACTAATTATTGATTTAAGTACATCAGGTAAATCTGTTTTTAGATGGATTGGAACGTCCACCCTTCTGGCCAACACCATTCCTGAAAATTTGTGGAGTAGATTCATAATACTTCTTATTTTTAAAATTTTGTTATTTTTTAAAAAATGATTCTTGCCATTGACTTTGTTGGGTGTGATTTGGGTCATCAACTGTGCTAAAAGTGTTCCTTTTTAAAACATCCTTGCAGGTCTTGGAGGGACGTGTGTAAATGTCGGCTGTATACCCAAGAAACTCATGCACCAGGCGGCTCTGTTAGGACAGGCCTTACAGGATTCCCGCAAATATGGCTGGCAGGTGGAGGAGCAAGGTACGGAGATAAAATCTGTTTTTTCCATTTGTGGTCTGTACTGTTGATCTGGGATGGGTGCCCTGGCCGTTGCTAATAGCTTGGTGAATAATACTGTGAAGGTGGTTTTTATAGTGATCTCTCTCTCCCCTCTCCTCTCTCTCTTTTTTTCTCTCTTTTCTTTCTTCTCTTTTCTCCTTTCCTATCTCTCTTCTCTCTGTCTCCTGGCTCCTATCTCTCTCCCCTCTCCTCTCCTCTCTCTCTTTTTTTCTCTCTTTTCTTTCTTCTCTTTTTCCTTTCCTATCTCTCTTCTCTCTGTCTCCTGGCTCCTATCTCTCTCCCTTCTCTTCTCCTTTCTTCTCCTCTCCTCTCCTCTCTTTTTTTCTCTCCTTTCTTTCTTCTCTTTTCTCCTTTCCTGTCTCTCTTCTCTGTCTCCTATCTCTCTCCCTTCTCCTCTCCTTTCTTCTCCTCTCCTCTCTCTCTTTTTTTCTCTCCTCTCTCTTTCTTCTGTTTTCTCTTCTTTCCTGTCTCTCTTATCTTTCTCTCCTGTCGTCTTTTTCTCTCACCTCCTCTCCTCTCCCTCCCCACTCCTTCCTTTACTGTCATTTTTTTCAGGTAGCTCAGGGTTAGCAGTGACTGCATGGGAAATAGAATCTTGCTATCATCAAGAGCTGGAAAATCTTCCAGTTTCAAAGATTGGGGGGCCTTTTCTAGTGAATGCTCCCCATTTTATGTTGTTGTATTAAATGCCCCTGACCTCTGTGCTTCTCTGAAGTGATGCTCATCATTGGCTTTCAGGGGCATTGGGGAGTGCTAGGGATGGGGCCTGGCTTGCCAGTGAGCAGGCATTTCCCCCTCCCCGTGCCCAGCATGTGGGCAGCTCTTCTGAGAGGAGTCTGGGCTGTCTTGATAATCATTCGAGGCTGCTGGGGTCGGGGAATTGGATTTAGAATCTCCCACTTACATCATTTACTGCGTGTGTGTGAGATCATGGGCAGGCCTTTAACCCCTCTAGGACCCAGGCTGCTTCTCTGGAAAGTGAGAGGTGATCCTGGGGGGGGGGGTCCCTCGTAGCTCTGAACATAAGATCCAGTTACCTGGTTCAGATCCCTCCTCTTTCATTTACTACCTGGGTGATGTTAGGCACGTGCCTTAATTTAAGGCTCAGCTGTGGCTTTCAGAGCTATCCTGCCTGGCTGTGCTTCTTTCTGGCCCTGCTTTTATTTCTTTTTTAAAAGATACTTTGGGGGCAGTTAGGTGGCACAGTGGATAGAGCACCGGCCCTGGAGTCAGGAGGACCTGAGTTCAAATCCAGCCTCAGACACATGACATTCACTAGGTATGTGACCCTGGCAAGTTAGCGAGTCATTTAACCCCAATTGCCTCACCAAACAAACAAGCAAAAAAACCCAACAAAACGCTTTAATGATCCTTATCTAGTTTTATTTTCCCAAAGAGAGGGGTAGGAATTAGATTGATTTCATGGGTATAGAGAACTCCCCCTACCTGCAGGTCAGCCCTTTCTCTGCAATTTATCATATTAGAAAGTTATCAGGAACATTGGGAGGGTAAGTGACTAGACCAGAATCGCACACTAGTATGTGTCAGAGGCAGGATTTGAACCCGGATCTTCCTGGCTTTAATGCCAGCTCTCTATTCACTATACTTCCAGAAGACCACTTTTTTGTTTGTTTTTGTTTTTTGTTTTGAGGCAGCTACGTGCCTTGCTTCCGGTCACACAGCTAGTAAATGTCTGAGGTCAGATTTGAACTCATGTCCTCCTGACTCTAGGACTGGTACTCTATCCACTGTCCCACCCTGCTACTGTTAAGACACACACATTATGTAGCTGTATACTACATGTACACATCCATGTAATACATGGAAGGCAGGTCAGTCATTAGCACTGTTATCAGAAATCTCATAAGCAGGGATTAATTGATCAAATTGCCTAGCTGACACCTGGGAACCTGTTATATTATACAGTTAATAAGCTTCAGTAGAGGAAGGAAAGATGGTCCTGTATATAAGTCTTGGATAGGAGAGCCTTAGGCCTTAAGTCAGGCATAGAATTTTAAAATGGGAATATTTGGACACCATGAAGTCCAACTATTTGTCTTTTCAGATGAGAAGAGTTTTCCTTTTTCCTAGATTTGACGTGAAATTTGCCCAGTATCTCACAGCAAGTTCAGAGAACAAGGACTAAGAATTAGGTGTGTGTGTGTGTGTGCGCGCGCGCGTGTGCATGCATGCATGCATGGATGCACACTTGCACAAACTTCTGAGCTGAAATGAGCCCACCACTCTTCAGAGGAGGAGGGCATTCAGAAAGATTCTTAACTCCCCAGCAGCTTTCTAGAATGGAGAGTCTTGAAAAAAAGGAGGTAGCAGGAATATTTGATCCATTGATGGAACTCCAAAGTCGTCCCTTAGACCGTCTGCTCCCCAGTGTATGTCATGGACTCTTAAATCTGGGTGATAATGGTGTCACCAAGAGAGAACACAGCTCGTAAACTGTTTATTCAGCAACTCAGTGATCTAAGACTCCAGTTTACATTCTGCCTCATTTGATGTCAGCTCTAAACCCGCTGCTCTTATGAAAAATGTTCCCAAACTGAGAGAGACTGCTTGACTTGCCCTAGATTTTTTTGGGAAATGGGTTTTTAATCTTTAAAATGTCTCTCTTTTTTTTCTTATAAAGGTGAAAGAGCTTAAATAAATGTATATGGGATAAATAGGATGTTGTTAAACATGGTGCATGTTAGCTTGGCGGGGGAGATGGCCTTAGCTGTTGGGGAGGTCAGAGGAGGCTGCGTGGGCTCAGTGGTGAAGGAGAGATTCTGATGCAGGTGTGAGGAGAAAGCCTTCTGGCCATGGGGTCCAGCCGGTGTAAGGGGGCAGTACCAAGGCAGGTTCCCCAGATTACAGCCCTTGGGATGAGGAGTGTGTGCTAAGGCTAGAAAGGGAGTAGAGAAGGATTTTAAACACCAAAAGGAGGTGGGTTATTTTTTGTTCCTGGAGGCAATAGTGAAGGTAGGTTAAATGTGCCCTCTCAGGAAGCCCTTGTGGCAGCCTGTCTAGATTGGAGAGAAGTAGGGGGCGGTGAGGAAGCCTTTGGACAGACGGTTAGGGCTCAGACTGGAGCAGTTGATAACTCCTGGCTTGCAGTTAGAAGGCGTCTTTTCCAGGTGCTGGGGTTTGACCAGATGGCCCTGGATTCCTTTGCAATGCTAATTCCGTGAAATGGAGCAGGAGTTGATACTCTTGTAAAAGCTTTGTGCTCATGAAGAGACTTGTTGGATTTATTTGGGTTGTTCTGCTGGGAGGTGGAAATGGAAGGCAGTGTGGCTCAGTGGATAGAGCCACTAGGGAAGCCTCTGATTCGTGTTGGCTTGGTGACCCTGAGTAAGTCATTGAAACTCACTAGTCTGGGAGCTCTCCAAGACTATACCAAGCATGGGGGCAGCTAGATGGTGCAGTGGATAGAGCATTGGCCCTGGAGTCAGGAGGACCTGAGTTCAAATCCAGCTTCAGATACTTGATATTAGCTGTGTGACTGTAGGCAAGTCACTTAACCCTAGTTGCCTCACCAAAAAAAAAAGACTCTACTAAGCAGAGAAGCACTGGTAAAGAGAGTTTCTTCATCAGAAAGTTCCCCATCCCAATAAAATCACAGGCCTCGTCCCTATGTAACTCGGTCCTAGTCACAGAATTTGGAGCTGAAAAGGACCTTGACAAGATCAAGGTGAACGTTCTCATTTTACAGCCAAGGAGATAGACTCCAGAGATACCTGAAATCACACATCCTGGCCTCTTATCCGTTTCCCCCTTCTTTCTAGATGTGGGGTGGAATATAATTTTTTTTCTCGTCAGCAGAAGCAGTCATGCCCCTCTGGTCCTCAGTGTCCTCATCTGTACAAAGAGGGAGTTGTGTTCTATGACCTCTTCTGGCTCTGAATCTCTTATGCCAGTTAACTTTTCTGGACTCTGTTTCCTCATTTGTAAAATGACCTGTGCAGTACCTCCCAATTCCAAATCAATGATCCCTTCCTCAGCCTCAGTTTCCTTTCCTGTAAAATGAAGGAGCTGGTCTGGACAGCTCGTGAAGGCTTTTTACAAGTATTTTTTCATGTCAAAATTTGTTTTTTTATAAAATAAGGATTTCGTATTTTTGATCATCTTAAATAAGGCTGGGGAGCCAGATGTTTGGGAAGAGGAGTGGGGTCAACTCTCAACTCTAGTGTTTGCTGACTCTCCACCATTGTGTGTGTGTGTGTGTGTGTGTGTGTGTGTGTGTGTGTGTGTGTGAGCACATGAAACACATTCAACACAGAATTTGTCTCAAATGAAGTCTTATGTCCTTCAGTTCACCCCATAACACCCCCTCCCCTGCCACCCACACATTTTCCCCCCTAAAGAAAGGTAGCTAATTTATCTTTTTTTCTTTTTAAGTAAAGATTCAAATCAACAGCATTTAAAGTCTGAAGATCTTTTAAGCCATTTATAGTTTCCTTACATAAATTGGATGAAATTGATCTGCCTGCAGATGAGGGTTTAATCTGATTGCTGAATGATTTCTTCCTTGTAATTCCAAGTCTGCATCAGAGCTAGCCGATGCTTAGGAACCAAATTGGTCCACCTTCTTGCACTTGAAAACTCCGGATTTGAGAGGGGCTTGGGGCGGTCATATGGCACAGTTGCTACTCACTATACCAGATTCCTCCAGTAGATCGATGAAGCATCGGCCAGTGTTTACTGTGTGCCAGGATCCAGCATTCCAAATTAAAAGTGATGCCCGTTTATGTAACAATTTTAGGATTTCTGGATGCCTTTTTTTTTTTGCTGTTTTGGTGAGGCAATTGAGGTTAAGTGACTTGGCCAGGGTCAAACAGTATCAAGTGTCTGAGGCTGGCTTTGAATTCAGGTCCTCCTGACTCCAAGGCCAGAGCTCTATCCACTGTGCCACCTAGCTGCCCCAGCTGTAGTCTTAGTATCCTGTTACTTTAAACTGGAAAGCTCTTGGTCTTTGTGGTCACTAGAGGCACAGTGGATAGAATGTGGAGCTTGGAGTCAAGAAAACTCAAATTCATATACACTTAGCCTCAGTTTCCTCATCTGTGAAATGGGGATAGTAATAACACCTACCTCTCAGGATTGTCTTGAGGATTGCATGAGAACATGTAAAGCACTTTTGCAAATTGTAAATTGTTATATAAATGCTAGTGATTATTACGTCAGATGGATCTAGAGTCGCTGAATTAAAAAATTCAATTATTCTATGCCTTGTTTCATCTACAGTCAAACATAATTGGGAAAGCATGACAGAAGCGGTCCAGAGTTACATTGGCTCTCTGAACTGGGGTTACCGGGTTGCCTTACGGGAGAACAAGGTCACCTACGAGAATGCTTATGGAGAATTTGTGGGCCCCCACAAATTAAGGTAAAAATCAGCTTGGCCAACAGGAGCTGCCTCTGCCTTTAGTATATATGTGGGAGGGAAGCCTTGCGTGATGGCTAAGTAAAAGTTAGGCAGACTGACTCCCTTTGACTCTTTAAACGGTCGATTTCTCCGCAGGCGACCAATATAAAGGGCAGAGAAAAATTCTATACGGCGGAGAGGTTTCTCCTCGCCACTGGAGAAAGGCCACGCTATCCGGGCATCCCGGGAGACAAAGAATATTGTATCAGCAGGTAAGTGTTCCTGGCATCTCTCCCAGGTCACATCTTTCCCTCTTTAGCACACCTGTTTCTGGCTTTTCAATTTAATTATGACCAGACATGTTTGGTGATTCCACCACTCACTTATCCTCTAATTCAGCTCCTAATGCCACAGGTCTAATTTCTCCTCAGGTTCAAGGGAGATGATCGTCCTTTGCAGGAATAGAGTTGAGACAGGGATTGATATTGATACAGACACCATTGATATTGGTGCTTTCTGGGGCTATAGCTTATAGTGATTGCTAGTAAAAGCGAGTAGCAAGCTACCAAGTGTTTTAAGTGGGAGTCATGCTAGCATCATGGGGCCATGAAAATCCTTTCTAAGGGCATTTGGGATATGTTCTTTAGATTTTCTGGTAAAAAAAAATAAGTGAAAACATAAATGAAGCATTGTACTTTAGGTGAAGCATTTTTCCATTGGGGACCTCTATGACATTGATTTTAGTTATTTTGTTATTAGATAGATTTCTCCCTCTCTCCCTGTGCACCCACCCTCCCTGTCCAAGAGCCATCCTTTATAGCACAATTTTTTTTTTTTAGGCAATTGGGGTCAAGTGACTTGCTCAGGGTCACACAGCTAGTAAGTGTCAAGTGTTTGGTCTGAGGCCAGATTTGAACTCAGGTCCTCCTCACTTCAGGGCTGGTTCTATCCACTGCGCCACCTAGCTGCTCCACTAGCACATTTTTTTTTCTTGGTGGTGATACATATCTGCGATATGTGCTATTTATAGTGATCAAATGAGACAGTAATTGTAAAGCGCTTAGCACGGTGCCTGGCACATAGGAAGCACTATATAAATGTTAGCTATTTCATCCTCATCATTATCATCATTGGCTATTATTTTTATTATTATTATTACTATTACTACTGCTATTATTACTGGGGAGAATGAGGCTGGTAAATCTCTTGAGCTAAGGATTTCTGGGTTTGATAGCTCAATTGTATGTCCCTATTAAGTGCAGAATGAGTATGGTGATCCCCCTGGAGTAAGGACCTCCAGACTGCCTAAGAAAGGGCAGAATGGCCAAGATTAATAATGGAGCTGGTCAAAGCTTCTGCACCAGTCAGTTTTGGACTCCGGCCCATGAATGGCCACTGCATTTCCAGCCTAGAGATAGGGAGACCCAGTCTTTAAAATAATAATAATATTAAATTTTGATTTAATTTTTTTAACAAGCAGAAACCCATTTCTTCTTCCTGCCCCCCAACTGAAAAAGAAAAAGAAAACCCTTGTAACAAATACACATAGTTGGGCAAAACAAATTCCCTCATTGGCCATGTCCAAAAGCAGGTCTCATCCTTTGATTTGAGTATTTCATCTCTTTGGTTTTTTTTCCCCTTAATAATGTTTTATTTTTTTCTAATTGCATGTAAATATAGTTTTCAACATTCATTTTTGTAAAATTTTGAGTTCCAAATTTTTCTCCCTGCTTCCCTCTCCCTCCAAGATAGCACACAGTCTCTACATGTACAATCATATTTCATCTCTTTGGTAGGAGGTAGGTAGCAGACTTCATCTCTGGTTCTCTGGAATAGAGATTGGGCATTGCATGGATTAGAGCTCTTAAATCTTTAAAGTATAACAGACTTCTCTTGAAAGAAAAAGAGGATAGAATCAGCAAAAAAAAAATCAGCAGAATGGATCAATTCATTGGGAAAAAAATGTCAAACTATGTAATGGGACCTCTGTAGTATATTATCATTTTGTGGCATCTCAAAGAGTCAGTAAAGCTTATCATCTAACCCTTCTCTGTATTTGTAAGAATGGAGAAGTTCTCACATAAGGAGATTGTGACTGCCCAAGGTTTACTAAGTCAGAATCAGTTGGGAAATTAACCCCCATGCATTGTCTTAAACACCCTAGTGTTACCTTGGATGCAAGGCCAGCCCCAAAACCCCTTAACTTCCTTGTAAGGACTTCCTTAAGATTCTACCTGTGCCAGTTATATATATTGGGAAATTAACCAGTTATAAGACATTGCCAGTTATGTGATATTGGGAAATTAACCAGTTATGTGATATTGCAAAATTAACCAGTTATAAGACATTGCCAATTATATGATATTGGGAAATTAACCAGTTATATGATATTGCCAGTTATGTGATATTGGGAAATTAACCAGTTATAAGACATTGCCAGTTATGTGATATTGGGAAATTAACCAGTTATAAGATATTGCCAGTTATGTGATATTGGGAAATTAACCAGTTATAAGACATTGCCAGTTATGTGATATTGGGAAATTAACCAGTTATAAGACATTGCCAGTTATATGATATTGGGAAATTAACCAGTTATAAGACATTGCCAGTTATGTGATATTGGGAAATTAACCAGTTATATGATATTGCCAGTTATGTGATATTGGGAAATTAACCAGTTATAAGACATTGCCAGTTATGTGATATTGGGAAATTAACCAGTTATATGATATTGCCAGTTATGTGATATTGGGAAATTAACCAGTTATATGATATTGCCAGTTATGTGATATTGGGAAATTAACCAGTTATAAGACATTGCCAGTTATATGATATTGGGAAATTAACCAGTTATAAGACATTGCCAGTTATGTGATATTGGAAATTAACCAGTTATATGATATTGCCAGTTATGTGATATTGGGAAATTAACCAGTTATAAGACATTGCCAGTTATGTGATATTGGGAAATTAACCAGTTATATGATATTGCCAGTTATGTGATATTGGGAAATTAACCAGTTATAAGACATTGCCAGTTATATGATATTGGGAAATTAACCAGTTATATGATATTGCCAGTTATGTGATATTGGGAAATTAACCAGTTATAAGACATTGCCAATTATATGATATTGGGAAATTAACCAGTTATAAGACATTGCCAGTTATGTGATATTGGGAAATTAACCAGTTATAAGACATTGCCAGTTATGTGATATTGTGAAATTAACCAGTTATATGATATTGCCAGTTATGTGATATTGGGAAATTAGCCTCTATGGGCCAGAGTTTCCACATCTGTAAAAGGATGGGGTTCAGCTGGATGACTCTGAAGACCCCTTCCACTTCTAAACCTATGGATCCGTGATCAATCAAGTCCTAAATGGGCTCAAGGGAGATCCTAAAGCACTACACATCCTACAGTGCTCTATAGCTGTTGGTGGTTGTTATTATTATTGTTTGGTGTGGGCTGCAATCTGCTTTTGTGGAGCAGGTTCCCATGCTGGGAATGCATTCATTCACATGAATGAAATTGGAAGTACTCAGCGTAATGGAAAAGTAATATGGGTGATCCCAAATATGTGGTTTGGTTTGATTTTTTTTTTAGCATTTCTCATTGGTTTTAGAATGTTTTCTAAGTCAGAAAAATAAATCTGATTTTACCTTCATAGCTATAGTTTATCTATAGTTTTGATTCCAGTTTTGTTGTGTCCTGGTCATTCACCACCTTACTATGGTGGGAATCGTTGGGAGGATGGGGAGTGCACAGAAAACAGGATTTAATTTAATAAAACTGCCATGTGTAATTAACCTGTGGATAATTAATAACTAAGCATTTCTCAGTCCTAGAAACACACCGAAATGACATAATTGCCTTATTTGGTCATCGCTTGGTGGATCTAACTTTTTTTTCTCATGTTTCCAGCGATGACCTTTTCTCCTTGCCTTACTGCCCGGGAAAGACACTGGTGGTAGGGGCTTCCTACGTAGCTCTCGAATGTGCTGGGTTCCTGGCGGGCATCGGTTTGGACGTCACCGTGATGGTTCGATCCATTCTCCTGAGAGGGTTTGACCAAGACATGGCCAACAAAATTGGGGACCACATGGAAGAGCATGGCATCAAATTCATCAAGCAGTTTGTGCCTGTTAAAGTGAGTGATGAGTGTTCCCTTTATGTTGCTGGTCTGTGCCGGGCACTGGAGGCAGGAGGCGTGGAAAGCCGTCAGGCTCCCTCAGCAGGAGCTGGGAGCTTCCTTCCCCTCCTGGTTGGGAGGCAGCCTCAGTCTCTCACCCTGCGCTGCAGTTCACATTGCTCTGATTCCAACCCCCTTCACGGGTGATTCACTTCTTGCTTTGCCAGCTTGCTGGTCTGCATGGCCTTTCTCTCTGGAGTTTTCTTTTCAGGATGTGTAGTACAGAGGAGAGGACACTGAGTTAGAAGGAAGGAAAAAGGGAGTGAGGAAGAAAGGAAGGAGGGAGGCAAGAAGGAAGGAGAGAGGGAGGAATGGGAAAAAGGAGGGAGGAAGAAAGAGAAGAAGGAAGGAAGAGAAGAAGGAAGAAAAGGAAGAAGAGAAGAAAGAGAAAGGGAGGGAGGAAGAAAGGAAAGAAGAAGGAAAGAAGAGGAAGGAAGAAAAGGAAGAAGAAAGGAGAGAAAGGGAGGGAGGAAGAAAAGAGAGAAGGAAGGAAGAGGAGGAAGGATGAAAAGAAGAGAGGAAAGAGAAAGGGAGGGAGGAAGAAAGGAGAGAAGGAAGAGGAAGAAGGAAGAAGAGAAGAAAGGGAAAGGGAGGGAGGAAGAAAGAAAAGAAGGAAGGAAGAAAGAGGAGGAGGGAAGAAAAGGAGGAAGAGAGGAAAGAGGAAAGGAAGGAAGCAGAGAAGAAGGAGGGAGAAAGGAAGAAAGAAAAGAGGAAGGAAAGAAAGAAGGGAGGAAAAAGGGAGGGAGACAGGAAGAGAAGAAGAGAGGAAGGAGGAGGGGAAAAGGAGAAGGAAGAAAAGAAGCAGGGAGGAAGAGAGGAAAAAAGAGGGAGGATGGATTGAACATGAAGCAGACATTATTATCCCCATTTTACAGTTGAGGAAACTGAGGCAGATGAGAGGGTAAATGACTAGCCCAGGAGGCTTGGCTTTGAAATCAGGACTTGCTGTCTCCAGACCCAAAGCTCTCTTTACTATTTGACATCAGAGGGTATGGGTTGGAATCTACTAGGCTCATGCTTATAAGCTGTATGACTTTGACAAGTCACTTCACCCTACCCATCCGGGCCACAGTTTCTGCCTCCAAGGTCTCTTCTAGCTTTAAATCTGTGACCCTTGATCCTGTAAGCAGGTCACTTCTTTTTTTTTTTTTTTTGCTTTTAGGGAATTGGGGTTAAGTGACTTGCCCAGGGTCACACAGCTAGGACTAGTGTCAAGTGTTTGGTCTGAGGCCGGATTTGAACTCAGGTCCTCCTGACTTCAGGGCCGGTGCTCTATCCACTGTGCCACCTAGCTGCCCCCTAAGTAGGTCACTTCTAAGGTCCCTTCCTTTTCTTCGTCTGTGAGTCTTACCACTTAACCAAGGCCGAAATACCAGGGCAAGTGTGGGCTGATGTTTCCTTTGGAGGCTTCCCTTGGTACAATCTAATTAATTATTGAGAATTAGCTGCTGCTTTTCTGTGATTTCTGTTATTAGTTCACATTTGGGCTCATGGATTTTTTCTCTTGGAGCCTTTATTTTTTTTAAAATAGCATTTAGAACGTTCATTTTCTGCCAGGGCTTGTGAAAATCACCCCAAGTGAGCTCATGTTGCTCAAGGGAAATAGGGCTGATCTGGTGGGATATTTCAAACTCACATCTCCCAAGTTGGAGAGAGGCTCCATTGCATGAGGGTCATGGGCTCAGAGATTTAGAGCAAGGAGGGCCCTCCCTCCTTGGACCTCAGTTTCCTCATTTGTAAAATGAGCGGGTGACCTCTGAGTTTCCTTCTAGCCCCAGATCTCTGGCCCTAATGGAGTGCTTTGCACTCCTTAGAATGCTTTCTAAATGCTCTTTCTTACTTAGTAAGCTCTGAGGCAGCTGAGCACGTCCTAATAGGTCCTGCACCAACCAGCCCAGAGACTAATTAATCCTACCCTGTTTTCTGGATGATGAAACTGAGGCCCCAGGAGGTCAAATGTCTGGCACATTTTTACTCACACAGGCAGGGTCAGAGGTTCACAGATGGAGATTTAGTTCAGGGCCTCACATGCCGTCTGTTGTCTTCCCCTCATTTTGGGAAACCGAGGCCCAGAAAGGTATGTGATGGCCAGGGTCACAGAGGTAGGAAAGATCGTAGGCTTATAGAGCCGGAAGGAAAATCAGAGGTTACCTAGCCCAACTGACCTCATTTTGCAGAAGCCCTCAACCTTTGGGAGGTGAAGAGGCTAGTCCCTCCAAAATGGTGGAACCAAGATTTCAACTTGAGTCCTCTGACTCCCAACCCTATAGTGAAGCAGTAACGGTTAAGAGTTTGCTACCTAAGGGGCAGCTAGGTGGCACAGTGGATAGTAATTTCCCTTGAACTTGTCCATTCACCCTCTCCCTACCTCTCCCTCCATGGAAAAAAAACAACAAAATTCAGTCAGGCGAGTTTCAAGAGTTTTGAGATGTATGAGAACTTATGTATGTGAGATTTCAAGTGTCTCTTCTTTCTCAAGCCCTTGAGAGTTTGATTAAGAGATGATGATGATGATGATGATGATGATGATGATGGTGTGGGTGTGTGTGTGTGTGTGTGTGTGTGTGTGTGTGTGTGTAAACTGTCAGGCAGTATCCTCTGATTGAGAGGTCGTTGGGATAATCAGCTAAGATATGAAGGCTCGGCAGAATCTTATCCTTAGTTACTTAATCAGGAGTCCTGAAATGCGGTGGTGGTGTTACTTAATCAGAGAACATCTTTGAGGCATGATAGCTCTGTGGCGCATGGGAGAAGTAATACGCCAACATCGTCTTTGGGAGGCAGCTAGTGATGAAAGTCTGGAAATGTGTGTTTTTGGAATGGAAGCTGGTCATGGTGTGGTGGCATCTTTTTATGTTTTAGGTTTCTAAACCAAGGATTCTTAACCTTGAGTCCTTGAATGGGTCTTAAGAGGTCAGAGAACTTGGATTGGGGGAAAAAATGACAGCTTGAGTTTGATTCTGACTGAAAGAGGATATTTCCTTCCATAATGAATTTTGAAAAAAAAATATTTTGAGGATTTCTAAGACTTCACCAGACTGCCAGAGGGGTCTGGGACACACAAAAAAGGCTAAGAACTCATGTTTAAAAAGAACCCATAGCACTGGCTCTGGAATCAGGAAGACCTGAGTTCAAATCTGGCCTCAGATACTTACTAGCTGTGTGACCATGGGCAAGTCACTTAACCCTGATTGCCTCCAAAATAATAAAGAAGAGAAGGAGAGAGGGAGGGAAGGAAGGAAGGAAGAGCGAGCTCACATTGGAGCATTGTCATAGAGGAGATAGAATGCGGGGCTTGGAGTCAGGAATATCCAGGTTCAAACCCTGTCTCAGTTACTTAGTAACTCTGTCACCCTGGGAAAAGTCATTTCACTTTTTCTTCTAATTCTTTTTTTTTTGTTGTTAGGCAGTTGGGGTTAAGTGACTTGCCCAGGGTCACACAGCTAGTAAGTGTCAAGTGTCTGAGACCGGATTTGAACTCAGGTCCTCCTGACTCCAGAGCCGGTGCTCTATCCACCTAGCTGCCCCCGCCATTTCACTTTTGTCATCCTCAGTTTTCTCATCTGTAAGATGAGGACATTTGGACTCGTTGATCTCTAAGGTTCATTCTAGTTCTAAATCTATGGTCTGGTCACTTCTCTGGGGCTCAGTTTCCCTGTCTGTGAAATGGAAATTATAATAGAGTTGTGGGGAGCAAAGTGCTTTGCAAACTATAAAGCAGTGTAGAAATGAATCTCTCTGAACCTCATCTTTCTGCTCTTTAAAGTTGCGATAACTCTGAACGACCTCACACCTTGGCTGTGAAGATGCCCAGTGCCTGGCACTTAGTAGGTGCTTAGCAAGGCTTATTGATCGATTAATTTTGCACCATAGCTATCTGCTGTAATTATTATGGTTCTTATCATTTTAGGTTGAACAGATCGAAGAAGGCATGCCCGGCAGACTGAGGGTGGTGGCTCAGTCCACCGATGGCCAGGAGACCATCGAGGGCGAGTACAATACGGTGAGTCCACCCCCTGTCTTTGCAGACATGGACTGTGCTCTTGTCCGATGTTTATGGAGTGTCTGGAATAGCCCAGAGAGTTTACAGAACATTCATCCGCAGCCCTGCTGTTGGCCCCTGAAAAGCTCCTGCTTTAGGAACAATCTGTTGTACCTATCATGCCCTTAAGCTCTACTGGAACCCATCCTTGGCTCTCCCAAACCTGGGCTCATGATCTACACCTCTGGGGGTGTCAGTAGAGCCAAGGGGCATGGATCGGGTGCTAGCCTCAGAGTCAGAAAAACCTGTCATTGTGACCCTGGGCAAGTCACTTAACCAAGCACTCTATATCTCAGTTTGTTCATCGGTAAAATAAGAGAGTTGGGCTCAGTGATTCTCAAGGTCCCTTCTAGCTTGGAGTCTATGACCCTGTGAAGTTTAGTTTTAAAGTGGGATCCATGAGCTTTAAAAATATCTACATTTTTGGTAACTGTTTCAGTGTCATTGGTTTTCTTTGTAAATCCTGTGCGTTTTTTGAAATGCATTTAAAAACACGATTCTGAAAAAGGGCTCATTTGTCATCCTGTGCATTTTTTTAAAAATGCATTTAAAAACATGATTCTGAGAAAGGGTCCATAGACTTCCTCAAACTACCAATGTGGGTATTGGGTAGTCTGGGACCCCAAAATAGGCTAAGAACCCCTGGACTAGCTTCCCAGGACATACAACCTTCATGTGAAAGAGGCCACCCTCTTTTTTTTTTTTTTGTATTCATACTTCCTCCTTAGTATAGCTTATCACTTTACAACTCAGATGTCTTTTCCTTACCATGAGACTATGAAAATAGAAATAAATACAGACTGGAGAATTTAGGTTTCTGACTGTTGCCTATCACACCTTGAGAACCTATGCAATGATTGGACCCAATGACTTTCAGGCACCATGCTTCCGTGGGGCAGGGTAGTATGGGTCTCTCAGCCTCAATTTCCTCATCTGTAAAACAGAGATAATAATAACCACCTCCTGAGGTTGTTGTGAGGATCAGATGGGATCATATTTGTAAAGTGCTTTGGAAACCTTAAAGCTCCATATAAATGCTAGTTAGTATGTATCTTAGATGCTAACAGCTGCGTATGTTATTCCCTTATTAGACTATAAGCTCTCTGGGGGCAAGAGATCATTTGTCTTTTTCTTTGCATACAGTGCCTGGCACATAGTAAATGCTTAATAAATGCCTGTTCTTCGATGGATTTCAGGTGTTGCTGGCAATAGGACGAGATTCATGCACAAGAAAAATTGGCTTGGAAACAGTTGGGGTGAAAATCAATGAAAAGTAAGTGAGAAAGACTTCTTTTCTAGCCCAGTCTCATGATGGCTTCCCCGGGTAGCATTGACCCATAATGTAGTTCTTCAAAGCTAGTTTTTGTCTTTAAGAGCCGCGGTCGCCCATTTTTTAATGGTGCCCTGACTGCAGAACACCAGCCTGGGCTCCGCATGTGTGTTCAGGAATGGGGTGGGGGGATGGGGGAGGAAAGGAGTTCATTGAGGTGGGAAGGTTGGTTTCTGTTTGTTGAGTAACCTGGGTAACTCTTTGTGATTGTACAGCTGGTTCAAGTATTGTCACTTGGAGATCGCTGCCATCTTTCATGTACTTAAAATATTGACTCATTAAGGAACATGGAGACTCTTGGACCAGATGGCTGGGGTGCGGGGGTAGAGATGGACCTGGGACTGCTTTTTCTCAATAGCCTAGGTTAGATGTTGCCATTTTAACATTCCAGTAATTACAAGCATGAAGAAAATTATAAATTGCCCTCCTCCCTCTCCCCGATCCTGCTTCTCCTTGGGCCGGTTCCTGTTCTCTCTGGCCTTGGTTTGCTCCTCTGGGGAATGGGCTACATGGCCTGCAAGCTCCCTTTTGGCTCTCTAGAGTTGTGATCCTATAGTAATCAAGGGATCTGTTGAAGTAGGACACCTGTGTGGCCTTCAGCTGAGGTTATACCTTACAAGTTTCTCTTAGCTGGTAAAATTTTGTTTTCTCAATTTCTACTGGAAATTTTTTGTGATTTCATTGTTTTCTTTCTTCATCTTTTTTCTTTTTTCCTTCATTTTTTTCTTTGCTTTATCTTCCCTCTTGTTATCTTCCTTCCTTCCTTTCTTTCCTTCTTTCTTTCTTCCTTTCTTCCTCTTCTTTGAATTTGTAGGACAGGGAAAATACCTGTCAATGATGAGGAACAGACCAGTGTACCTTACATCTACGCCATTGGGGATATCTTAGAAGGCAAACTGGAACTGACACCTGTTGCGATCCAGGCGGGCAGACTGTTGGCTCGGCGACTTTACGCCGGTTCTGATGTAAAGGTAAGCATTTGGCTGTCATCCACTGGCATTCTGTTTCCCAAAATCAGGCGGCCTCCCATCTTGGAGGGGCAGCTTTCCAAATCTGCATTTTTTTTTTTGGCCTTGAAGGGTCTGGCAGATGGGCGGTATTAACTGCCTTCAGAGCTGGACAGAATTACAGATTCTGTAAATTTGTGATTTTATCTACTGTGAAATGTTTTTTTTTTCCTTCTTGAGATTGCAGGAACAATAAGATGAACTCAATTCAGTTAACTAAGCCTTAACACTACTTCATTCCACATAAATCTTCATAATAGCTGCATTACATCAGTTTCATTATCTCCAATTTACATGTAATTTTCAAAATCCTTTTATGGGTTCTAAATAGGCTATAAAAGGACTTGGTGATCTAGGAGGGGATGCTAATAATGCAGAGAGCTTCTTCAAACCTTCCTTTGCTCTTTCTTTCTCCTGTTGGAATATATCGACAGCGTCTTGAGTGTAATTCACTGTAGGTTTCCTTTCTACATTCGCAGGTATTGGAAACCTGAAAGAGTAATGGTGGTACCGTACCATGACAATAGCCAGTCTTTATAAATTGGTCTCCAGAGGCAGTTTTGAGTTGCACTTTAATCTGTTAAAACCTCTCCAAGTTGAAATTCACATAAATGGGGGAAGTAGAATTGGAATGAACTTGGTTGAGATAATCAGATATTTTTATGTTATAACCACAGGGTGTCAAGTTCCCTAGAAAGTCGTTGCTTCAGGTCATGAGTTTGGCTTAGCCGAGAAGCTTTTTTGATTTAATGATTTGTTTCTTTTGATTAGTCCTTTTTTTGTTTTTTTGTTTTTTAATGAGCAGGTAACGAGCAAGAAAGGACATTCAGGAGGGTGTGAGGGTTGAAGATATGAGCTTGCCTTAGCAAGGAGGGCCCAAGGACAGCCTCATTCACTGTTGTAGGCTTGAGCCCCAGATGAGGTGTTCTGACTCTTGAGAGGCAACATGGCGCCATGGGAAGACAATTGGATTTGGATTCAAAGGATCATAATTCAGTCCCACTTGTTTTTTTGAGAGGGGCCTACAGGAATGGGGTAGCTTTTCTCAAGGTTACACAGGTAGCGCATGGGAGAGCTACCGTTTGAACTTGGGTCATTGGGTCAAGTTCCCAGCCAGGCTACTCTGTGACCTTGGTCAAATTACCCATCTAACCTGTCTGTGCAACTGGGAGATTGGACCAGATGAGGCCTAAGTCCCTCTCAGCTCTAAATCCCATGTTCCATAAATCCAGTGCACAGATCCCTGGATTTGGACGGAAGAGGACCTGGGTTCAAATCTTGTCTCTCTCACTTGCTCCCTGTGTGAGACTCTGGACAAACTACTTTAACCTCTGTGGGCCTCAGTTTCATCATCTGTAAAATGACAGAGTTGGAGTTGATAGCCCTCTACAGTCCCTTTGAGCCCTATGATCTTGGGATCTAATCTCCCCCCCTCCACCCTCAGTCCCTGAATTTTGAATTCCTCAAGGTTTAGAACTCTGTTCATTCTGTCCATCTCTTCTGCCCCCTTCCTCCAGGGGTGAAAATACTAAGTTCTTAGTCTGCCAGGCCATCTACACTCTGTCCTGAACCACCCCGTACCACGATTTCATCTTCAACAAAAGTGAAGCTGCTGAGAAGGCCTATGATTTTTTTTTTCTTGTGTTTAATTCCCCTGATCTTTGGTGGGAGCTTCTTCCCGGAGCCTTCCTTCTGCTCTCAGACTCTTCCGTTTGACTCTTCCCGCATTTCTTGGATGTAGGAAATAAGGAAGAAGAGGGCAAGCTTGTGTCTGTGTTGTAGCTGGCAGGCTGGAGTTGGTCCAGCACTCCCGGAGGGCCTTAATCCTTTAATTTGCCAGGCAGGTGTTGGGGAAAACATTTTCACTTAGGACTTGGAGTAGACCAAGTCTCAGCCTGCCTTTTCTATTGTCTCGCTTTTGAGCAGACACTCCCCAAGTCAAACCACTTGGCTTTTTGCCTTAAGACCTTTGAGTTTGCCTGAAAGGCTGTATTTAATTTTGTTCTGTTGCACCTGAAAGATAATTATGACTGCATATTACTGCCCCCATTTTATAGATGAGGAAGTTGACACTCAGAGAGTTTAGTTGACTTAAAGGGTCATAGATTATAGTTAAAGGGACTTTATTCATTTATTTATTCATTCACTCATTTGTTCATTTGTTTATTTATTTTAGGCAGTTGGGGTTAAGTGACTTGCCCAGGGCCACACAGCTAGTTAGTGTTATGTGTCTGAGGCCAGATTTGAACTCAGGTCCCCCTGACTCCAGGGCCGGTGCTTTATCCACTGCGCCAGCTAGCTGCCCCCTAAAGGGACTTTAGAAGCCATATAGTTCATCCCTCTCTTTTTAAAAGTGTTGAGTTAAAAAATTTTTTTTCAACTAGCAAAAACGAATTTTTTGTCCTTTGTCCTTCACCCTATTGAGAAAAGAAAAAAAACCCCACAACCTTTGTACCAAATATGTATATTCAAGCTAATTAAATGCCCCCATTGGCCATATCCAAAATGTGTGTCTTATTCAGCACCCTGAGTTCACCACCTCTCTGTCAGGAGGTGGGTAGCAAGCTTCATCATCTGGGAGGGGAGAAAGGGAGGAAGGAAGACTTTGCAAACCCCAAAGGTTTTGGAAATGCCTTCTTTGAATTCACATCCTTTCAACCTGACAAGCCCCAAGTGATTTGTTCACCTCTCTCTTTGCACACAGTGTGACTACGACAATGTGCCTACCACTGTATTTACCCCCATGGAATATGGGGCTTGTGGCCTCTCTGAAGAAAAAGCCATTGAGAAGTTTGGAGAAGAAAACATAGAGGTAAGCGACCTTCCTACCTACCTCCCCCTCATTTTAGACAATACGGTGCTGGGGAAAGAGCTATACTCTAGAACTGGGTTTGAATTTCAGCTCTGCCTATGGCCTCCCTGGCCCTTTCCTGCAGTAATTCTGTATTCCCAAGTCACTTCCCCTTGTCTGGGTTTCTTCAAATGAGGAGGCTGCGTTCGGTGGCCAACGAGGTCCCCTCCAGATCTTGTCTCTCATTGCATGATTTCTCATGCTCACTCCAGAACGGGTTAAATCCCGCTAGGACCCTGGAGAGAGCTGACCCGACTGCGTGCCTCCCCCAGCCCACAACATAGAGTCAGTGAGTCTTGAGCCTAAAACGCTGACATTAGCAGATGTTGCCCAGTGAGCAGAGATTATTACCCTCCCACAAATCCTTTGAAGAAAATGGCAAGGTTTAAAGCGGGCCTATTGGCAACGATGTGAGAGACCCGAACATGTGGGCAAAGGGTTTAAATCATACATAAACTCCCTTTGATACAGTGATTATTGATTTCCCGCCATATTTTTCTGCCACCGTAGCCCATCTGTAAGTCCGTTCTTTGGCTCTGATGCTACGCATTTTGAAAACGACGCTAGAATTTATAATTCAAGGCCAAGACTTGGCAACGTTAGCCAAATAATTGATCATTTTTGGGCAAAGTGTCCTGACATTTATGAAACATTAGAAAGGCTGTCATTTTTTTTCCCTTTCCTTTATTTTTTTCTTTTTTGGCCTCGATGCCTATAATTACAAGCTAACACTCACGGTGAATTCCATAAGAAAAGAAATGCCTTTTGGAAGCATCCAAACCACAGAGCCAGGTGATGATTAGAATGGTTCCTGCCTACACTTTCTCCCCTTGTCATTCCTAAGAGATGACAAGACGGGAGTGTATTTTTAAAAAGGTGAGATTAAGATGATTCATCACATGGCCTTCCTTTTCAACTTTTCCTTGAAAGGCCTTAAGCCTCACGGGTGGTAAACACCTGAGTGTGAAGCTTGACCTAAAAAAAAAAAAGGAATAATTATTTAAAGGGATGAGTTGATACCCGTCAGGCTCTAGCTATGAGTTCAATGTCATCTGCTTTGTGGCTGGCTTTCCACTTAAAGGCAAGCCATGGCCAGTCCACATTGTGGGATGTCCTGTGCTGTGGCCGTCATATTGGAAAACCAATTTGTATTTGTGGTAGGGATCGGTTTTAGATGGTTTGTTTGCTTCTTAGGTCTACCATAGCTACTTTTGGCCACTGGAATGGACCATCCCGTCAAGAGATAACAATAAATGCTATGCCAAAATCGTCTGCAATGTCAAAGACAACGTAAGTGCCATTTTTATTGTAATCAACATGTCTGAACGTTCCATTTCCCTTTCATTGGGGCATTAATGCTTACTGTCCGGGCCCCTTACTTTGGCATGTAAAATGTGATTACAGATTTATTAATTGGGTACGCCCTGTCGCCCCAACCCTGTTTTATAATCGGCAGAAGGTCAGGGAGGTGCTCAATAAAGATTTCCTACGCTCTTCAAGAGACCTCAGGGATGGATCACCTCTGGAGTACTGTGTCAAGTTCTACGTGTCTCATTTTTAGGAAGGACATCCACAAGGATATTGGCATCTGGGTATCATAGAACACTAGCTTTGAATCTAGAAAGTCTGAGTTGGAATCCAGCCTTGACATCTACTATTCTGTGTGACCTTGGGCAAGTCACCGAATAGCCTCAGTTTCCTTATCTGTAAAATGGGGGTAGTAATAACGACCTGCCTCACAAGGTTGTTGTGAGAAACAGATGAGCTGATATTTGCGAGGTGCTTTGCAAATCTTAAAGTGTTCGATGAGGGTTATTGATCTGTCTCACATCTAGAAGAGGCCAACCAGAACGGGAGGGGACCAGAGAACATGGCGTTCATGGATCAAGGAGAGGACTCAGTCTGGTGAAGAGAGGTCCAGGGTGGAATCGATATAGGGTGGGGGACAGGTAGTGATAGCGGAATGCGGGTATTTGAGGAGCTGCCTTGTTCTACTTGGGCCCAGTTATAGCCCTAGAAGCAATGGGTGTGAGTTAGATACAGATTGTGACTCAGGGTAACGAGTAATTTTCTAACCATTGGAACTACCCCAATGTGGAATGTTTGGGGGTGGGAGTTCCAAGTAGCCTGTTGGATGCAATTCAGTAAGCATTTATTAAGCACCGGCTGTATGCCAGACACCAGTGCTGTGTGCTGGGGCTACAAAGACAAAAATGAATCAGTCCCTGCCCTCCAGGAGCTTACAGATTCTTTTCTCCATAGCCTTGGTTAGGCACTCTTTTTTTTTCTTTCTTTCTTCTTTTGGACCATATCTGTGATTTCATTCATGTAGGGAACTCTCAGGAAGGAAACCTTCTCCACCAATGCAGATCAGCGCCTGCTCTGTATCTTATAGTCTTAGAGAGCTGCCTAGGAACGCTAAAAGAGGAAATGACTTACCCAGGGTCACACATCCAGTATGTGTCAAAGATAGGGCTGGAGCTCCCCCGACTCTGAGGCCAGTGCTCTGTGCACCACTCCTCGAAGGATAGACCTGCCATTTTACTGTTCAAGTAAGAACAGGTGTGGAGAAAATGATGTGCTGCCCTGGGCAGTGGGAGGTATTATGTTCTTCCCAGCAAAATGCATCATTGCTGGAGATCTCACCTCTCTGTCTCCTCTCTTTCTCTATTACTTCTCCTTCTTTCTTCTCTCTCTTTTCTCTCTCTCCTCTTTTTCTACCTTCTCTCCTTCTCTCTCTTTTCTTTCTCTCTTCTCTTCTTTTTCCTCTCCCTCCCCTCCCCTCTCTTCTACTCTTCCCTTTTTACATTCTTTCTCTCCTCTCTCTCCATCTCTCTTCCCTCTTTCTCTTCCTTTTCTCCTCTTTTGTTCTCCTCTTCTCCTTTCACTTCTTCTCTCCATCTCCCTCCCCCCTTCTTTCACCTTCTCTCTCTATCTTTCTTCTTTCTTCTCTTTCTCTTCTCTGTCTTCTCCTCTTTCTATCTCTTTCCATTTCTTTCCCTCCATCTCTTATTTATTCAGTCACTGCTTCATTTTCATCTTTGTACCCTGAGGGCCTAGTACAATGTTTGGCACACAGTAAATGCTTAATAAATAAATGTTGCATTAAGAGTGAATGGATCACCCCTAACCCGAGATCTCCAGACAGTGGATTGGACTGGGTAGTCTCCAGGGATCCTTACAATCCTGATATTCTGTGTCTTTGTGTCTGCCATAGCCCCTAGCATAGTACAAGGCCCATAGCAGGCCACCAATAAATATTTGTTCAGTAAATTAACCAAATTGTCTGGACTTGTGATTCTAGCCCTGGTGGGAGTTCCTGCTGAACATTTCCTCCACCAGTGTCAATCACCTTAAATTAGTCTGAGAGAGTTGAGGAGGCGGAGGTGGAGGGGGTGGGGAACAGGGAACTGAGAGGTTCAGGGACTTCCCAGAGCTCTCAGGCCTCCAAGATTTCCCTCCATCCATTATTTATCCACCGCCTCTGTCTAAATATTTATTTCTCCCCCTTTTCTATAAATGCAGAAACTACAACAAAAAATCAGGCTTTGTCCTCAGAAATAACCAAGAATAAGCATTAAAGTGATAGTTAACTAAAATGTCAGTTCTTTTTCAGAATGTTGATGTGAAAAAAACCTTCTCTTCTGTGGGCTCGAATTTTGCGTTTCCTCATCAGAATTCATCTTTCTAAAATCATCCCATAGGGTCTTGATGCTAATTTTTTTTCTCCTGTTCTCTTGCGCCTTTAAAATTAGAGAGGGGAGAAGGGAGCAGCATTTATTAAGCATCGACTGTGTGCCACCCGCCAAGCTAAAGCACTTTACAAACTTAGCTTGTCTCCTGAAAAAGACGAAATCTGTGACTTTGACTGATGCAGATCGCTTTGAAGAATGTACATATTCATCCCCTGAAGCTATGATTGCTCTTTCAGTACTTGGGAGATGGGACCACTTTGATTGGGCATTAATGCCCTCTGTACCATAGAAGTCCAGGCTTAGGTTGGCTCTTGGATGGCTGCTTCCAGACTTTCACTGGACCGGTGGGCTCCATGACAGCTCACACTCTGCTGGCTGAGCCTTCTGGGTTCCCGAATCACCTTCCTACCTACAGGGAAGAGGATAGATCTTCAGCAGAAGAAAGGAATGAGCTATTGTAGGGTTTGTACAGTATAGTGAGAATGGGGCTGGACCTGGGAGCTGGAAGAAAGACCTGGTTTCAGATCCTGCTTTTCATACTTAACTACTTGTGTGACCCTGGGTTCTTAACCTCCTTCTTAGACAACTCCCAAGTGCTTGCACTGCTGATGAATTCCAGTCTACTTTGGAGAAGGGAATGACAGAGAGAATGCATTGGCTCTTAGGGCATCATAGAATCTTAGTGTTGAGTCCAGGATCATAGACTTCAAAGTTGAAAGGGACCCTAGAGATAATCTGGTCCATTTCATACTCCTCATCCCTCATTTTCAGATGAGGAAACTGAGGCTGAGAGTGGGGGAGTGACTTGCCCATGATCTTCATTATTAAGTCTTTTTTGGTCCTGTCTGACTCTCTGTGACCCCATTTGGGGTTTTCTTGGCAGAGATACTAGACTGGTTTGCCATTTCCTTCTCTAGCTCATTTTACAGATGAGGAAACTGAGTCAAACAGGGTGAAATGACTTGCCCAGAGTCACATAGCTAGTAAGTATCTGAGGCTGGATTTGAACTCAGGAAAATGGTCTTCCTGATTCCAGGCCCAGGGCTCAATCCACTGCACCACCTAGCCATCCCCACAGTCACACAGATAGTAAATAGCAAGGCTGGGATTTGAACTGTGACTCCCATTTTCCTTTTTCCTCTTTTCCCATTTACCAGGGAGGTTGGAAAGTGAAAAGTGTGGCTTAGTGATGACCTGTATCCATGGCATCCAGGGTTATAGGAGTAGTGTTTTCCTAGGTCCTTGGTAGGAATATCATGGGAGAAATGTTTCATTTACTAAGAGCCCTGGCAACATATGAACTGTCTAATCTAAATTAAATTTGTTGCTCAGAATCCCCTTAGAAGGGGAGTTAGTGCAGGTATTTATCAGATTCTTAAAAAAAATTGATATATTTTGCTTTAGTATTGCTTTCATTTCCCAACCTTTCTTAATTCCTGTGCCTTCCCTCTGTTCATTATTTCCTTTTTATCCTAGTTATATTTTTGCATATATTTGCATATTGTATACTTTTGTGTGTAGCTTGCTTTGTATAGATTTGTTTGCATGTTGTTCGCCCTTTAGGCTGTATGTTCCTTGAGGGCAGGGACTCTTTGCATCCCCAGGCTTAGCCCAGTGCCTGGCACATGGTAGGCACTTAATAAACATTTATTGATCGACCGATTGGTTATACTTCATTTTAATTAAGCCACTTGCTGTTTATTCTCTATGTCCTCGTCAGACAGTACTTAAGCATTTTTTTTTTCTGAAAAGAGTTCGCTTTTAGTTCTGTGCTCTGCTGGCAGTGAGGGATAGCTCAGATATGTCAGAAAAATGGATGGCCCTTAAATCCTTTCGATTTTTTCTTTGGGGAAGCATTGTACCCCTTTGTAGTAGATTTATCTTCCTGCCAATTTGGTTTAGGCTGATGGATGCTTTCTGAGATCCCTTTCAGCTCAAGCATTGTGTGAATCTGGTGGTAAGATTAGCCAGACTTCCTCGATTTCCCCCCCAGCCCTTGCAAATGGCAGCCATGATAGAGGAGATAGTCCGCCATGTTTGTTACCTGGGTTTGGGTACCAGTATATGATCTAAGGCAAGTCCCTCAAAGAATTCAGGCCTTGTTTTCTTCATCTTTACTGTGGGGAAAATGTTAGTTAAAATAAAATTATAAAGAGATGCAGTGTGATATCATGGTTAGAGAGCCATCCTTGAGTCAGAAAGCCCTGGGTTCAAGTGCCCCCTCTGACATATGCTGGCTGCATGACCTTGGACAAGTCACTTAATGCTTTGTTCTCCAAGTCACTCTCTCTAGGACCATGTTGCTGATCTACATTGGTGGAGAGCATTTTCGTATCAGGGATTCTCCCACCCACCCCAACAAAACCGTAGGTCTGCACTCAAGTTAAAAGGCCCAGTGAAATTGGGTGGATGGATTCTCCATGGGGGATTTGGAGGGGAACATGCATGAGAATCTGTCGGATGAGGAGTGGATGACTCTGGAGTCAAAGGAGCTGGGTTCAGATCCTGACTCTGCATCCCTTGGTATTTCTGGGCCTCAGTCTCTTCATCTAGAAAATGAAGAAGTTGTACCAGAAGGCCATTGAGTGCCCTTCCATTAAAGTGACATCCGTCACACTGGCCTCACAGAGCTGTTGGGGGACAAATGAGAGAATATATGTAAAGTGCTCTGTATACAGTAAATCACTATATAAATGTGAGTTGTTATTTTGGGGAAAGTGGTCCAGGAACTTGCTTGTTAGTGTAAGTGCAGCTGAGCCATCCGGGTGCAAAAGATGGTGCTGGGTTTGGAGTAAGAGGACCAGAGTTCAAAACTTAGCTCTGCAACCTGTAGCAAGGTATTCCCACCTGCCTAAACCTGTGTCCTCCTCATTTGGTAAACTGAAGGTGTCGGATAAGAGGATTTAAAAAGTCGTATTCCACTCTAAATCTGTGAGCCTTGTCCCAGTGTATCTGCCGTCCTGCCCCAGTGGTCCCCAACCTCTTGGCCAAGATGAGGAAGGCATATTTCATTATTTGATCTCACCCAGGCAGCATGGTGGATAGAATACTGGATCTGGAGTCAGGAAGATCTGAGTTCAAATCCAGTATCTGACACTCACTAGCTGGATGACATTGGACAGATCACTTAACCTCAGTTTCCTCATCTGTAAAATGGGGACAGTAACAACCCTTACCTCCCAGGGTTGTTGTGAAGATCAAATGAAGTAGTATTTGTAAAGTGCTTAGCACAATGCCTGGCACACCGTGGACATTTAATAAATTCTTTCTTCCCTCTCCTTTCTTCCTTCCCCCTTTTCCCTTACTCTTTTTCCTCCTTTCCTCCCTCCCTTCCTCCCTTCCTCTATCCCTCCCTCCCTTCCTCTCTTCCTCCCTTCTTTCCTTCCCTTCCTTCCTTCTCTTCTTCCTCTCTTCCTTCCTTCCTTCTTTCCTTCCCTTCTTCCTCCATCCCTCCCTTCCTCTTTTCCTCCCTTCTTTCCTTCCCTTCCTTCCTTCTCTTCTTCCTCCCTCCCTTCCTCTCTTCCTCCCTTCTTTCCTTCCCTTCTTTCTCTTCTTCCTCCCTCCCTTCCTCTCATCTACTCTTCCTTCCTCCCTTCTTTCCTTCCCTTCCTTCCTTCTCTTCTTCCTCCCTCCCTTCCTCTCTTCCACTCTTCCTCCCTCCCTTCTTTCCTTCCCTCCCTTCCTCCCTTCCTCCTTCCGTTTTTTCTTTCCTCATTTCTTCTACCAGGAGTAGAGAACCTGAGGCCTCAAGGTCACATGTGGCCCTCTAGGTCCTTTGACTGAATCCAGACTTCACAGAACAAATCCCCTTCATAAAAGGATTTGTTCTATAAAACTTGGACTCGCTCAAAAGGCTGCACCCAAGGCCCTAGAAGGCCACATGTGACCTTGAGGCTGCAGGTCCCCCACCCCTGTAATAATCTAGCCCATGCCTTAGAACAGGTTTTTAGAATAAACTGGGGAAACTCTTACCAAGCTATGGAGAAGAAACTGAAGGCCCTCAATCCCTGTGTTCTCTCTATTCTTTTAGGAACGTGTTGTGGGTTTCCACGTCCTGGGTCCAAATGCAGGCGAAGTCACTCAGGGCTTTGCAGCAGCCCTCAAATGTGGACTGACCAAAGAGCAGCTGGACAGCACAATTGGGATCCACCCAGTGTGTGCAGAGGTAGGTACTTGTATGAAGAGACAGAAAAAATGGCACCTTCCAGAAGCCTTTCTTTATTGACTCTTCTTGGCCGTCCTCGTCCCAATCCTTGGTTGGGCATTCCTACCATGATGTAGGATGGTTGTGCCAATGAGGCCTTGATTTATGGAGCCCTGATGACTTAGTCTTCATCACTTCTCCCAGATTAAGCATCTCCCACCCAAAGTTTCAGGTAGAAGAAAATGTGTACAGTGTGTATTCTCTGTGGAAATATTGGCCTGTGCTATTGGCTTACCCTAAGGACCTCTGACCATCAACTCTTCCATTTGCAAATCGACTTTCTTTTATGGGTTGTCCCTTCTCATTAGAGTGTGAGCTCTTTGAAAGAAGGAAATGAGTAGGTTTTTTGTTTTGCTTTCACTAGTGCTTATCACAGGGTTTGTCACATAATAAGCATTTGATAAAAATTTTTTTTCATTTAATCATACCAAGGAAGATTCTCATAGCCGAGGTTTTAACCCGCCTCCCCTATGTGTTAAGCAGCGCTGTCTTTCCTCTTGGGCTAGAAGTATATGAGTAGGCTTTGGCCGACATGATTTGAAAGACCAGATGAAGAGAGTTGATGTTGGCATGGGGCCCATCAATTTGTGGGTCTCTAGTTATCTCTAGACTGATGGTTGGGATTGGGTTAAATTGGCCGCAATGCCTCTTTAGCAAGTGCCCCAGCCACAGTGGAGTAAATGGATTGGGAAGAAATAGATCTCACCTGGCATCTTCCTGGATGGAGTGCTGAAGAATCCATCCCTGGCCACCATAGACCATGTACATTTTAGGAGTGGTGGCGCATACGTACGGTGAGGGTGAGAATGTTGCAGCAGACTCCTAACGCTACTTCCCTTTGAAATGGGAAGCCTTTGTGAAATTCCTTCTTTATCTAATAACTTGAGAAATATGGTGACTTAATGAAGCCCCCTGATTTGGAGTCAGGGAAGCTGTGTTTAGATACTGACTTTGTCACTTAATACCTGTGTGGTTTGGGCCAACTAGGTGCTCTTTTATTTCTATTGAGAGATGGCATGACTTAGAGGACAGGATGCTGGATTTGGAGCCATAAAGATCTGGGTTCAAATCCCACTTCAGATCCTTACTAGCTACATGACCCTGAGCAAGTCACTTAACCTCAGTTTCTTCCTCTCTAAAATGAGGGGATTGGACTGGAGTGGCAGGGTTGGGGGGTTACAATTCCCATTTTACAGATGAGGAAACTGAGGCTTAAAAAGATTAGATCCATGGTGGAAATATTCTTATCCTTTTCAGAGGTGCCATGGCCCATTCATTAGGGTGATTGGGGCTGTGCATGGTAAAGCAGCCCAGCCATAGAGTTTTGAACTCCCCAGCCAGAGGCTGAGAGAGGGGCAGAACAGCTCTCAGACACTCACTGCTCTGAGTGCAGAGAAGGAGGAAGCTCTCATTTGATTTGAAGGGCTCCTTGGGAAGGTTCTAATGGGTGTCTTCGCACCTGGGACTCTGGCACCCTATTAGCATCATTCATTGTGAAGAGAGAAGACTACTAATTTATTCTGGACTTTTGAGCTGAGGGAGCTGAATAGAAGCTGATTAGCTCTAATTCAGCCTGGTAATTTCAGCTAATCATGTTTGTTTGGGGGCGGAGGGCGGAGAAAAGTTCTTCTGGAGCGCTCTTGCGATACATTTTTAGAATCCGGCCTCAAAAAGAGTTTTTCCCCTTCTGTTTGCATTTGGTGTCATCTGAGGGGACGGGAAGACTAGTGTAAGGGTGGGGGCAGGGGTTGAGGTTGGCAGCATCTGTGGGCTTTCACAGGTATGGAGTCTTCCAGGATGGGGGAGGGGCTTCCATTGATTTAATATCCTGTTTCTACGGATGCAGCTGTATGTAAATTAGTGCTGTCTGGGCAGGCGCCCGGCCCATCAAAGCTTTTATTTAGATTTAATTAAGGTTGGCAGCATGCCTTATTGATTTTCATCTTCTTTAGTAGAAGAGGTCTTTAAAAAAGAAAAAAGGATCAAGTAACTTTCAGTATCCCCCCTTCCTTCTCCCTACCCCCTTTCCTGTGTTCAAATGAAGCGTCTTTGGCTAAGGGTGCCTGTCCTGAATGGCCTTATTCAGGTAGCCCTCTAGACAGGCTGTATCCTCCCAGGTTGGTAGCAAGTAGCTGAATCACAGCTGGAAGTGTCCTTCCATCATGGTCTTATTTTACAGCAGAGGAAACTGAGGCCCAGTGCTCAAAAGAGCCAGAGTTTGAATATGGGTCTTCCAGTGCCCCAGCCCATAGCTTTACTCTGTTGTGTCATGATTCCATGTTGAGTTTGGGGTGCTCCATTAAACTGTAACCTATTTCTATTGAATATATTCTAATGTGTTTGCCTGGGTGAGTGATAACAATGGCTGCCATTGACATGGTGATTTCAGATTTATGAAGCGGTTTTGTCCCAGCTGCGCTGTGAGGTAGGAAGGTTGAAATATGCCGATAGGCATTTAGTTCTCATTTTTTCCTGCTTTCTCTCTCAAGTGACTTTGAGGCCAACCAATTACTGTAGCTTTGAACAGCATCACCTAAGTGGCTTTGATTTCCTATAGTATTTTCTTGTGTGCATCAAGGCCACAACCTTAGCTTTTCCTTCATTCAACACATGTTAATTGAGCATTTACTCAGGGGAAGCACGATAATGGGGCGCTGGATTTGGGATCAGAGGAGACCTGGGTTCAGAGCCTGCTTGTGTGACCTTGAATGAGCCAGTTCTACTTGACCTGCCTCAGTTTCCCCATCTGTATAATGAGAGAGTTGGACTATAGATACCTTCTAAGGTGCCCTGTGATCCTAGTCTTGAAGAAGTTACATCTCCTGCCCTCAACAAGCTTTATACTCTACTAGGGAAGGGGAAAAGGGAGGAAGGGAACAAATATTTATTAAGTACCTCCTGTGTGCCCAACACTACGCTTAAGGGCTTTACAGATATCTCCTTTGATCCTCACAACACCCTTGGTAGGTAGGTGCTGTTACTATCCCACTTTTATGTTTGAGGTGGCATTTCACCTGGACTTTGAAGGATCACTAGGCTGCTTGTCTAGCTAGGAGGAGGGTTACTCCAGGCAGAGAAAACTGTGTGAGCTAAGACATGAAGACAAAATATGGAGTGTTATGAACCATGAGTATCACAGGACCTTACATCCAGAACTAAAGGCCATCTGCTCCAATCCTGACCGCCATCTTTTCTGCACAGAGCAGGGACCAAAATGATCAGAACTCTCTTCGCTGTAGATCGCTGGTTCTCAAAGTGGGCTCTGGGGTTCATGAGATCAAAACTAATTTCATAATAAAGCCATGTCATTTTAATTTATTAGAGATACACAATGGTAAATATCAGCAGAGACAGCCCATCTAAGTGAAAACTCTTTGAGGGGGAGGGATCCTTCAATGAATGTCAAGAGTATCTAGGGGTCTCAGGACCAAATAGGTTGAGAACCCCTGCTCTAAAGTATTTACACAGTCCCCCAAGTCATTAGGTAAAACCAGTCTGTTGGAAAGGTCTTCGAAGGGCATCTGATCCAGTCTTCCCTGCAGCATACATCTTCTTTTCTTTATTGTATTTATAGTTCTTAAAACGCTTTTTAAAAAATTCTTATTAGTCTTTTTGTATGCAATTATAATTTGTTTTTGTCTTAGCCCCTAACTCTATTGAACCCTTTCTTAGTGGTCACCCAGCTCCTGCTTAAACACCTCCAGTGACAGTGAACTCATTACCCGTTCCTCCCAAGGCAAACCATTTGACTTTTAGACAGCTCTCATTGGTCCAAAGTTTGCTTTCTTGAACTTTCACTCATTCCTCTGAGTTTTGGACGGCCATATGATCCTTCTCTGTGATGAACCCTCGAGTATTTGAAGACGTTGATCATGAATTTCTCTCGTTCATAGGTTCTTAACTGGGATCCATGAACCTAAAGATGGATAGATAGATGGATAGATAATTGTACTGCGACATAATTGGTTTCCTTTGTAATACCACGTATTTTATTTTATGCATTTACAAACGTGAAATGCAAGAGATTTAACATCCCCGGTCCAAGCTAAAAACACCAAATTCTTCTATTTTTTTTAAAGTGTTTTTGAGGCTTTCTGTTTTTGTATTAATCATTTCCTATTCTACATCTCCAGCCAAACCCTAACCCTTGTATAGACAAAAAAGGTTAGCAAAACCGATCAATATATCAGTCCCATCTGGCAGTGTATATAGCGTTCTGTACCAGTATCTCCCACCTATCCCCCTGCCGTTCTCAGAGGAACAAAGTTTGTTTCAGCTACTTTCAGAGACCAAGACAAGTCATTAAAATTAATCAGAATCTGGCCCCCCACATCATGGCTGGTCCTCACACGGCATGGTCTCTAGGCCCTTTGTCAGCCTGTTCACACCCACCTTGGACACATCACAGCTCACCCTGCATTCATGCCTGAACTACTGGTCCTGCGCTCCCTTGCTCCACATTTCTTAAAAACGGGTCTCCTTTTTTTGCAGGTGTTTACAACGCTATCTGTGACTAAACGTTCAGGGGGAAACATCCTCCAGGCAGGTTGCTGAGGTTAAGCCCCGGTGTTGCTGCTGCTGCCTCCGGCGACTCCGGATATCATCACATTATTTTATTTTCTCGGGTAGAGAAAAGCCTTGAGAGAATCCACCATCAACTCCCTCCACATCTCTCCCGATACCAGAAGGGAGGAGATACTTGAACCTCGGGACTGATTCAGACATCGTGGTGCCCGGAGAAGGCAGTTAGCAAGACACTGGGAATATCGCAGCGTACCTGAAACTGAGGTCTAGCGGTGCATCTAGCAGATGCGTTAATGAAGTCACTACCCAAAGCCCTATCTTGTGGTGGGTGGTGGCCGAAGAGCCGCGGCTTCAGTTTCTTTAAGACTTTTGTTTGGTTTTGTTTTCAATGAAGAATGTCCTTCCAGTTACTGTCTCTGATAAGGCTTTTAAATGATCCAGGAGCCCCCCATGAGGCCCTTATCCCTTGACGGCATGGGCATGCGTGCATCAGCCAGCTTCCGACAATGTACACGTGCCCTTCAAAGAGGAGATGAAGTAGCTTGCTCCTCACTCCATCTAAGGATTGAAATGACCCTTAGCCTTTGCTTTTTCCTAAATTTCCTTATCCAGTTGCAGGCACGTGTGTCCTCTCTGGTCCTCTGTCCTCTTCCTCCCCCAAGCAGATTTCACCACTTTTCAAGATGGCACTGTTGGTTGGCCCCACCCTTTTTGAGGAGTTGAGCTGACCTCCTGGGCTGGAGATGTGAACCGCAGTTCCTTCACAAAGCCCAGGGTGGCGCAGGTTCTAGATCTGGCCGTAATTCAGTGAAACAGGGTGCTTTCTTCCAGGAATAGTTACAGCACCCACATGCGCACTCCATGGGGGAGGGGGCATTTTTCAGAACACCTTGTCTTGACCTTTTCCTTGATCCTTTTGGGCAAGGTGAGAATGATAGCCTAAAACCATCACAACTCCATTTTCTTGGCAAGTATCTATTTATGGGTCCCCTCTGGATAGGCCTCACTCATAGGGAGATGAGGCAGTCCATCCATGCTTGTGACTCCCATTCTTTTGGGGGAGCAGACCCATTTCTCTTTTGGTTTCCTCTTTCTCATTTGCTTTTTTTTTAAGGTATTATTCACATAATAAATTATTTAATTATTTTTTTTAAGCCCACGGATGGATCTGAAGGATTTTTGTGTTTCATAAACATCAAATGGTTTTGGCTTCTTTGTTTTGGGGGGAGGAATGGGGAAGGAGGGTGTTACAGGGTAGAATCTTATATAAGATTGTTTTTCTCTTAGATCTTCAGCTTAGGGTAACTATTTGTGGGAGACAGGATTGTGTTGAAGAGTGCCTGTCTCCTTGAAGAAGTTTAATGGAGAGTGGCTGTAAAATGGGTCTCCATGACGCAACATCTATTTATATATATAGCTCAATGTCCACTTCCCAGCCTGTAACTTGTGATTCATCTTAGCTGGTGCGTTGAGTAATTGTTTCAAAGTCCCCATCCAGGGAGCCTCAGGAAATACCCTCCTTTGTTTGGCCTTCACACAACAGGGTCCCCATTCGTCTGCCTCTGTACTCAGCCTAGGGCCTCATACCTCACGAATGGGCCTTTAGGTGGAAAAAGGAAAGGTTTCCGGGACAGAATCAGAAGACAACGGTTCTGCTGTTTTCGATAAGATTTCTCTAAATCTTCCTGTCTCTGGAATTTGAAAATGGAGATGGGCAACATGGAAGTCATTGTGTTCTGAACTTAATCATGTTCCCATTCTCTCTCATTGGCTGAAAAACAAACAATATTTTGTGTGTCTAGAAGACCCCTGGTAAAAAAAAAATCTCATCTGAAGAGTTGGCCTCATTTGGTTTCCCCCCCAATTGGACCCCTTATCAAATTATTTTTTTTGTTGTTGTTTATGATAATTTTGGAAGAAAAAAACTTGATAATGTGAAACATTAAATAGTATTTATATTCATCTCGTATGTGTTGTGTGTGGGTCCTTTTTTTTTTTTAGGCAACTGGGGTTATGTGACATTTTAGTTTGTTTTGTTTTTCAATAAGGCAACTGGAGGTAAGTGACTTGCCGGGGTCACACAGCTAGTAAATATCAAGTGTTTGGTCTGAGACAGGTTTTGAACTCTGGTCCTCCTGACTTCAGGGCCGGTGCTCCATCCACTCCACCACCTAGCTGCCCCTTTCTTTAGCATTCTTGTTGGAGAATTGGACCAGAGTTCTGTCGTTGGCTACCTGGGTGCCCCTGGGCAAGTCACTTAAGCTCTCTTGTTCCTTGGTTTCCTCATCTGTAAAATGATGAGGTCATCAAGTGACCTCTTACATCTTGTCCAGCTCTAGATACGAGGCTCTATAAATACAAGCCAAGTTTTCAGAAAGAAACACACCTACGTTTCCCAGTGGATCCCTCCCACCCCTCTTGCCAGAAAGCCATTCCGGAAAGAGAATTTTTTTTTTTAAAGGAAGTCTGCACAGACCTCTTCGGGCAAAAGCTGGATAACCACTCATTGTGTATGTTGTAGACGCGATAAATGTCAATTCAGGTCCGAGTCATACAAGATAGCCCCCGAGATCCTGTCCCTCCCCCAGTCTTGGATCCTGGGCTGAGTACAGTGGCCGGCACACAGTAGGCACCTAATAAATGCTTGTTGACATATGAACAAGGTGCTCGGACTTGCTGGTCCCTGAGCTCTCATTCTGGGATTCAGAACTTTGCCGAGTTCAGAACTTTGCAGAGTGCATTGATCCAGAGATCCCCTGGTTGGGTGGGGGAGACGTCCAGTCTGCAGAGCTGGCTTTTAGCCCCACCTCTGCCATTGAACGTGATCTGACCTTGGACCAGAAGACTGCTCCGGGCCACCTCTCAGCGGTTTGGTTTCCTCATCCCTAAAACAAAGGGGTTGGGCCAGATTCACTCCAAAGTCCCTTCTGGCTCTCAATCCTGATTAGTGAGTTTCCTTACTATCTGCTGGTATTTACATTTTAAATATTTAATTGTTTTTTCAAGTCAGAATTCTTGAGCGGGGTCCTGGTTGGACTCCTTGCCATCTTGGCGGGGACCTAGCTTTCCCAGCAGCACTCGACGTCTCTCTCCACAGCTGTCTTCCCCGAAATCAGAATTTACTGCAGATGTTGCTGGTGTGTGGAGGCTTACCTGGCGGGATTGGGGCCTTCCGTAAAGAAATAGTCATTTTAATTGACGCTCTTTTCTGCAGCGCCTCTTACTTCCAGATCTGTCTCCTCTCTCCCCTCCCTATCCAGAGAGCCATGGGCTGTAGCAGAATTAGAAATAACAGCAACTAACAGGCACCTCCCGTGGATCTGAAAGGGGAGGCCGTGTTCCCCACCCGTAATCCCCTGGGAACTTTGGAAACAAAAGGAGAGAGGGGCCTCTTCTCTTAATTTTCTTATATGGCCAGCCACGTAGCCCAGTGGATAGAGACCCAGAATCAGGAAGACCTGAACTCAAATCCAGCCTCAGACACTTCCTAGCTGTGTGACCCACGGCAAATTTCTTAACCTCTGCCTCAGTTTCCTCATCTGTAAAATGGGGATAATAATAGCACCTACCCCTCAGGGTTGTTGTAAGGATAGGATGAGATAACATTTGTAAGGCGCTATACAAAGCTTAAGGCATAGATGCTAGCTATTGCTACTATTATGAAGTATTACTACCACTACCACCACCACCACTACAAGTCCTACTACTTTTATTACTGTCACCACCACCACTACTAGTACCACCACCACCACCACCACCACCACTACACTATTTCTATTACTACTACCACCACCACTGCTACCACTACTACTTCTAATGCTACCAATATAGATAGCGATGCAGCTGTAATTTAACAGATTTATTCTATGGGGGAAAAATTTGCCAGCTTGGTGATGTCCTTCTTAACTTGCCCCTCAAACAACTAACAAGAGTATAACCTTAAACTAGACTCTTTGGGGACACTGAGGTATTTGGATTTCTGATTCATGAAGGGTTTACTAAAAACCTATTTATTCCTTCTTCTGTCACATAGAAAGGGTGGAAAAGGCCGTTCGGAGGGCTAGGTGGAGAGGGAGAGAGCAGTGACAGCAGGTCTCCAGCACCAGCTAAGGGAGATCTCTCTCTTAAGGGAGATCCCTCTCGGCTGCCCAGCCGAGCCGAGAAAAGCACCTGGGTGGGCTGGCTCCTGTAAACACCTTTCTTGGGCCAACTCCACAGACTCACAGAGAAACCTTCTGTTCACAATTTTGCTCAGCTTCCAGAGAGGTTTCTCGTTGTAAATCATCAGATTGATTTTCAGTTATAAACAGGGTGGGTGGCAGGAGTCTTATTTGTCCCACACCCCACCAGCTTGTGGAGAGGCTCAGTTCCCTGAGTTCTAGCCCTGCAAGAGCTAGAGGAGATTATATTATTAATACAATAATTAGTATGATATTAATGCATAATACAACACATAATTACTACCATATTAATAGAATTATAACACACAATATAATTTATTATATATTTGTACTATATATTGTATTATATAGCATTATATCATTAAAACCATATGCTTGTACTATATATTCATATTAATATATCATAACATAGCATCACATATAACTATAGATTTATACATACATTTAGATAATAAAATATAAATATAATATAAATATAATATTAAGATATAAAATAAACCTAAAATACATAATATAAATTAATATACAAGTATATAAATATATAATTTATATAATATATAATTGTTTTATTTATATTTAGATAGTATACAATTGTGTGTTTGTACATATATTTGTGTAATTATAACAGTGTTAATAATATTTACAAATATTAGTAACCCCACAATCCTCATGAATCCCTACTTTTCACTGGAGGACCCTGAGGCAGACAAAGGTTAAGTGACTTGCCCAGGGTCACCCAGCTGGTAAGTGTCTTGAATCAAGACTTGAACTCAGCTCTTCCTGACTCCAAGCCCAGTGCCCTATCCACTGTAGCACTTAGTTGCCTTAATCCTATTGGAGTTCACCTAAAACGGTGGAGAAGGCTCGAGGTCATACCCTATGAAGATAAGTCGAAGGAGGTGGGGAGGTTGCGTCCGGAGAAGGGATGTCCTCCAGAATGAAGGGTTGCCACGTGGATGAGGGAATAGCTTTGTTCTGCTTGGCCCCATAGGCCAGAAATAGCAGCCGTGGGTGAACATTGCAAAGAAGGGAATTTTGACTCGAGGTCTGCAGAAACTTCCTAACAATTAGAGCTGACTAGAAGCAAAATAGATTGCGCGAGGGATTGCCCTTGACTTAGCTCTTCAAGCCAATGATGGGCAGCCTCTGCTCAGAGAAGTTGGAGTAGGGATCCTTCCGGACTTGGAGGGGGATGGGGCTCCTTCCAACCCTTGAGACCCTCCGGGATCGTGTCCTCCAGCTTGCCCCTCCCCTCTGCCCTGGCCAGTCTGCCCCCCTGATGCCAGCCTCCTGGCAGGTCCTCAAACAAGACCCTCCATCTCTCTGCTCTGGGCATTTCCATGCCTGGAACACTCCTCCGCATCTTCGCCTCCTGGCTTCCCTCGCTTCCTTCAAGATCAGCTAAAATTCCACCTTCTCCAAGAAACCTTTCTGGGCCCCCTCAATGCCGGTGCTGTCCTTCTGTTGCCGATTTCCAGTTTATCCTGTATCTCTTGTTTGTAGGCAGTCATTTGCACTTTATCTCCCCCATTCAGATCTGAGCACGCACCGTCTGTTGCCTTTCTTTGTAACCTCCGTACTCAGGGCAGTGCCTGGCACATACTAGGTGCTTAGTAAATGCTTATTGACTGACTGACCATATCTATAACCCTATAAACCGGTCGGGGTCTTGACTGGCCTAGATGGCGTCCCAGGTCCCTTCCCGCTCTAAATCTACGAACATCTTAGCCTTCAGACGATCGATTCTGACGTGGGAATTTTTGTCTTACAACAGCCTGTTTAAACCCAGGATCAAAGTGAAGCTCCCTTCCCCAGAGCCTGATTGTTAGAGAGCTTTTACCAAGGTGTCGAAAATGTCATCGTCGGGTTTGTCGGACAGTCGGGTGCCCTCTTGTCTTGCTATATTGTCCATTGGGCGCTATGATCAGGCATCGATCTCTTTCAAAATGAACTTGGTATTCAGTCTCCCACCTTCGTGCATTCACTCATACAGTCCCCTGTGCCTGGGGGCTCTGCCTCAGTGTTTCCTTATTAATTGGTTTCTAACCCTGAACCTTAGCTTAGCACTTTGTACCAGGGGCAAAGTGCCTGTTGTTATATTTATATATTGAAGTATACATATTTATATATTAAATATATTGATACAATCTATTTATAGCATGTAAATATAGTATATATTTCATAAAGTGTATTTTATAGTGTATAAAACATAATGTATTTCATTTATAAATATATTTTATATCTATTTTTATTTATATATAAATATATTTCTTCTTATTATATATTTATAAATATATTTCATATATTTATAGCATATAAAATATAATATATTTTACATAACATTTATAGCATATAAAATGTTTTGTATAATGTATTTTATAGCATATAAAACATGTTTCATAGAATATATTTTATGGCATATTAAATAGGTTTCATATAATATGTTATAGCATATAAATATGTTTCATATAATATATTTTATAATATAACAAAATATGATTTAATATGTGTTTATAAGATATATCATGATTATTTATTCATAAAGATTTTTTATTATTTATAAGATAATTATTTGATATATGATATATAGTTTCTATGTAATATAATATGATATGTCATCATTATCATGCATTACTTACTATGGTAATTTATATTTGTACCAGACCTGTGACTTCATTGGCATAGGAAACTCCCAGTGAGGAAAATTCTTTCCCAATATAGGTAAGCACCTTCTCTGCAACTTAGAGTCTCAGAGAGTCACTAAGAAGTTAAGTGATATGCTCAGTGT